AGAGGGGCCTCCTCCCTCACCTCCTCGCCCAAGGACGAGACGTACGCCGCCTCGGTCTGACTCCTAGGGCACTTCTCCCTCGAAGGACCCTCAGAAGACTCCAGCTCGATCACTGGGGCTGGATCTTCCGAGGCTGGCCCTGCCACGGCAGGAGTGGCAGGTTCCGAACTCTGGACGGTCTCAAGAGCATGGGCTCGGCCCTTGGACTTGCGTTTCACGTTGCTTGCAAATCCGTAAATTGCAACACACAAATCTGGTTAGACTTATTGGTTGCTGAATTTACAGAGAGGAGAGATTGCTGGTTTATGAGTACATGCCCAACAAAAGCCTCGACTCCTTCATTTTTGGTCAGTCATCATTTTTACAACTTTTTAACATAATACATTTTTTTTGGTGTCGTGTTTTCCTCCAATGAATCGTTGTACATACAGATCCCGAGAAGAAGCTAATACTAGATTGGGACAAACGCTTGAACATAATCCAAGGGATAATTCAAGGACTACTCTACCTTCACAACTACTCAAGAGTGCGAATAATTCATCGAGATCTTAAAGTTAGCAACATCTTACTTGATGATGAGATGAATGCAAAAATATCGGATTTTGGTATGGCTAGAGTCTTTAAGCCATCAGAGGATGAAATAAACACAAGCCGAGTTGTTGGTACATAGTAAGTGAATCCTATCTATATTTTGTTGATTGATACTATTTTGTTAACCCACCCACCAGATCTAAAATGTTCAAGTCGATTCATGCGTTGGATATGAGCATTTAATTTTATTCACAAGACCTAAACACGTAAAGTATTAACCTGAAATAGAAAATAAATAACATTCAAGACTTAAGCCTCCCTACTCTAATACCATATTAAATCATTTTTCGGAATCCACAATCTTAATTAACTACGTATGATAAATTTTTTATATGTTGTTACCTTGCAGTGGCTATATATCACCCGAATATGCAAGGGAGGGTATTTTCTCAATAAAATCAGATGTCTACAGGTTTGGAATATTATTGATGGAGATCATAACCGGTCAAAAGAACTACAACAATTACGGTACAGAACGACCTCTCAATCTCATAGGATATGTAAGTTGCAATCAAGAATGTTCTTATTTTTCTTGGTAAAAGAAGAATGCATGAAAAATGAAAAGGAAATTGATTTTTCAGGCATGGGAGCTGTGGGTGAATGGGAGAGGAGAGGACCTGATTGATTCGGCTATATGCAACTCCAATTATCATAAATCAAAAGCTGTAAGGTGCATCCATGTGAGCCTTTTGTGTGTTCAACAAATTGCAGCAGACAGACCCACCATGCTTGATGTTTATTTCATGATTCACAACGATTCTACTCAACTTTCATCTCCCCTAAACACCCTGCATTTTTCATTCCTCAAAATTCACTCTCCTCCGAGGTCGAAGCAGTCCGACCCGAATCGGAACTCGAAATATGTTCCCCGAATACCATGTCGCTCTTGGTGATGGTTGCCAGGTGACCCTAGTCCTTATTGTGTACTGATGTTACCCTAGTTTAGTACGTAAAGAGATTGAATATTATGCAACCATCAGGCCTCTAGGATGCTGCAGTGGCAAGAACATGGAGTCGTATGGTATCACCTAGATAACGAGTTATGGTTATAGAAATTGATTAGCATTGGTCATGCAGCATCTATTTCGAGAAATAGAAAAAATATATATTATATATGCAACAATCAGAAATTTCAATATTTTGATGAGTTTTGGACTATATTTTTTAAAATTTGGATACTGATGAACATATATTCCAAAGTACATATGTTTATTCTTTGATGGCATTTTAGAGTTGTCGAGTAAAATGTAATAATTTATGGCTAGTTTTCAAGTACAAATTTCACTCCCTAACATATATTCAATAACTATATTTGAAAATGTTTTTAAATATCAACTTTTTAAATCCTTGTGTAGTACTAATAAATTTATAGAGTTTGTGTAGAAAGTTGATATCGACATTTAAAATCTTGTGTAGCACTGCTACAAAGTAAAGTAATTAAAAGTTACAAAAATGAGTTTTGATASAGTAGAATGAATCCATGATTAAATTGTAACAGTTTTTCTTCTGGGAAAAAAATTGCTTTCAAAATTTTTGCAAAACAGTATTTTAGTAATTTTCACGAATAGTTAATTTTATTAATTTCTCTAAAAAATATCATTTAGGATTTTTTAGTAACAAGTAAGTGGTTTCAAGGGAAAAGTAAGGAGAGAATAAAGTATTATAAAAATTAATATTTAAAATGCAAGTCACTACTGACATTGCATTACTCGTGTTCTACATTTTTGTAATCGCACTTAGTTACCACTAAGTAGATCCCACACATCCAACACTATAAAAACTTTAGACGTCAATACTCAACTTCAAATTTCACTGACTTAAGCATCGTAGCTCTTTTTTATCTCTTTGTACGTCTTATTAGACTTGATGAATCCAATTATCTTGGTTCTCTCATAATCAAATTTCATGGTTAAACATATGATATTCAAATAAGGGRCAGTTGCAAATACGACAAAATATTTTGTAAAATTAGCAAAATAGCAACCACATTTAGTTTTTCCAAATATAGCACTTAAAATAAAATAGAGGTTCAATTTTAAAATGACAACTTTACCCAAATGACATACATCTGTAATATATCTTACTGTTGAAATATGTATATGATATATATACATATGATATGATATACTACTAATATGAGTATCTGATATACTTGTAATATGTATGTGATATATATCTGGTATACTACTAATATATGCTACTGATATGAGTGTATGTGCAATATTTATGTGATGTACCTCTAATATATTATTGATATGAGTGTCTGTGCAATATTTATGTGATATACCTCTAATATATTATTGATATGAGTGTCTGATTTATTACTGAATGACATATTTTGAAATATATAAAAGATTTTTTTGTTACAATCACACTTATTTATTTTCATTTTTGCTTTTCTTGCCCCATAAAAAGTGGGATTTTTTTTAATAATGCTATTTTCGAAACTAATTACGAAAATATGCCACTTTCCAAACGATTTACAAAAATAATGTTTTGGAAATGCAAGTCGTCTTTTGACGTGGCGCTTTGTGGTATCAGAGCCATGGTTTAAACCTAGCTGTGTCGGTGAATCCTCGAGTGCCGAACAAAGAAGTGGTGAGTCTCGAAAAGTGTGGTCATGGTGTAATCCGTAGGTGTGCTCTATCAGGTTGTGCCCAAAAGCCTTGGATAGGAGCAAGCTCTCGTTCGGGTCCAAGAGTAGACGGATGAGTGACTACTTGAGGGGAGGCTCGGTGGTACTTTGTTCGAGGGGAGGATTGTTGGGTTTGTAAAGTGATTGCAAACAAAGTCCCACATTGGCTAGGGAAGGGAATGATCTAATTTTTTTTAAAAAAATAAGGCTTGGTCGTCTCTTATGTTTGGCAGGATTTCAAAAATCCCGCCTAATCGTCTCTTCAAGAGACGACAATATAATTCTAGGCAAAAACAAAACAATTATTATGTATATATGACACAACATTTTAAATTAAAATGTATATTGTGGCGCAGTGGAGAAGAGATTGCTTGGTAAATTAAATGTCATGGGTTGGAGTTTTCTTTCGTTTTGGTAATATTATTATTGTTATTATAAAGGATTAACGTAAAAAAATATATATTATTATTWATTATTATTATTATTTTTTATCATTTAATAAAAAAAATATACCAAAACAGAAAAGAAAACTCCAAATATCACCACTAGAACCCATGATCTTTGACTTATAAGACAATCTCTTATCTACTGCGACACAGTATTCATTTTGTTCAAAAATGTTGTGTAATATATATATAATAAGAGTTTTGTTTTTGCTTAGAATAATATTGTCGCCTCTTGAAGGGACGACCAGGCGGGATTTTTGAAATCCCACCATACATGTCGTCTCTGACCAAGCCTTATTTTTTTAAAAAAAATTTTGCCACTTCACAAGAAGAGACGACCTGCTATTCCCAAAACATTATTTTTGGAAATAATTTGGGGAGTGACATATTTTAGTAATTACTTTCGAAAATAGTATTATTTTTAARAAAATCCATAAAAGGTGTTTCACTTTCTTACACATTATGATAATTAATTTCAATTAAACTAAAAAAAATCATTGTTAAATTAAAAAAATCCAACCTGAGCCTATAACTACCTCGCCCTATCGAATCAAATCAGACCAAAAGGGCATGATGTTTTTTTGTTTTTCCTTTTTTTTATAGACGTTGAAGAGGTGAGTAAGGAGTGAGAAGGTGTCCCTGAAGATGGAGAAGTTCAAGTCGACGTCTGAGAATCTCATCATCTGGTGTGTTTGGGAAGAATGATAGAATAAATTATTTTGAAAAAAAAAAAGATTTAACCATGATTGATTTTCTAAAATCACAATTCAAGTGATACCTTGAAAATCAATTTAAAGTGATTTTAAATTCTCATAATCAATTTTTAAATTTACCGGACATGATTGGAAAGTTATTTTGGAAGGATAAAAATAATTACCAAAATCATTCTCAAACATACTCGAGAGGGAAACATCCCTCCCACCCCCAAATAAAAAATGTAATAGATTAATAATACAAATAGAGGAATGAAAATCAAATAAACAATACCCCTCCAACTTTGGATAAATCATAAAATGCATAAAAAAAGTTAATGAAGCTTTTGGTCTTTGGCAACAAACTAACAGCTGGCTCCATATTTAATTTGAAGGCATATGGAATATGAATCCTACTTTATGAAAAATGCTTTACCTTAGAGAAGAAGCTACTTRACAAAGTCAACAAGTCCAAGTCGTAAACAGCCACAAATTATTGTTACTTTTTTTCCTTCTTCACTTTTGCGAGTAGACAGCCAATCACAAGTGTCTTGTGTCTCCTTCATTTGCGCCTAAACCAACCCAACACAATTATTGGATTCATATGTTAAGGTTTCGTGTGGTCCCCAAATTAAAAATACCGAACATATATTTGGTAGTCAACGTGTTAAAACATCAACGACATCTACTTCTTATTTTGAGTTTAAATTATCAAATTTCAATATTTGTTAAATTGGATTCTGTCTGAGTAAAATGTTCTCTTAATAGCGTAAGTAGGTTAGTTTAAGAAAATAAAAATTTTAAATACAAAATTGAATGTATATAACTTTTTTTTAGAGTTGAATTGATTTAATTTCTTGACATGAATTCACTTAATTAACCCACCAAAATCAAATGAAGTAAAAAATATATCTGAAAATCGAATTAACCAACTATTTTTTTATTCTGCCTTTTAAGAAATTAAATTGATCCATAATATTATTTGAATTATAATTAGATTTGGATTTGATATAGTTTAGATTATATTATTTTAATTAACTTTCATATTTATATTAGATTTGAGATTATATTAGTATAAATGGGTTATTATACATAAATCAATTCAACGAAATCTAGTGTTCACTGGATCGGGTTGATTTGTTATAATTTTTTCCACTCTCCTAGGCCACAAACATGAATATTTTTTTTTTCAACTTATCAACTACCTTCACATGTGATTATCATTTTCCCTTCAATAATAAACAAGGTTTTGAACTTTAATGATGACTCATAATCTAATCAAACCATAAGCCAAGCTAATTGCTCAACATTCAGATCACATTCACTAATTAATGTCACTATTTTTAATTAATGAAAATTATTAATTATTATTTTATCTATCCAGAGACATTCCCTTGTCTCAAATTAGGAAAGCATCGTGATCAAACAACCAAAAAGATATATTCTTTTCATTAAAGACAGAAGATATCGACAGTTCATTATTTGATCCTATTTTTTATTATATACTTCTAATATCGGATTCATAATCGAGAGAATATTTCGTTTCTATAATTTGTTTAAATTTTGTAAATCTTTCCTAAACCGTCTTTTACTCTCTCTCTCTAATATAGTTGGTTAAAATACTTGACCATGAATCAAAGTAAGAATAGGTTTAAATACTGTAATTTTAACTTAGGTTAATTTTAATTTTAATTTTGTAGTTTCGAAACCGTCCTTGTATTTTTGAAATGTTTGTTTTTTATTCCTCTAATTCTAACTTAGTTCTTCTATTTTCATTTTTGTATAATTTCTTTGGATCGCAATTTTAGCAGGAGATTTCACTCACTTAATTTTTTTAAATGTAACTATATATTTGTATTAAATGGTTTAATCGTTTATAAAAATATTGGTGGTAAAATTTTACAAATAGAAACCAAAATGTTATATTTTCAAAAGTACAAAGATTGAAACGAAGATTTTTTAAAGTACATGGACTAAATTGATCAAAAGTTAAAAAGGAGAAGAATCAAAATAGATTTTTTTAAAGGACCAAAATTAACCAAAATGTAAAGTACAAATAAAAAATGTCATGTATCCAAACTAGAGCAATTTGTGAGATTTGACAAGATCACAAAGATTAAATTAAATCTTTTAAAATTATGAAGACTAAATGTGATATAATAAAGTCATCTAATCTACTTATTTTCTCAAAATCGGAGTTCAAATGTCGTAGCATTAACAATTGTTCAGTAAGATCAGTCGAGGTTCACAAGGCATACCCTCATATTTATTATACCAAAGAAAAAAACAAAATTGGCAATTTAACCTAAGAGACAAGTAATTAAATTCATTCCGATATATATATTGAAATAAAATTCATTCCGATATTAATTACAATCTGTATTATCTTATATATATATATATATATAAAATCAGATGAAGAGATTGTGGCCGGAATTTTAAACGAGGGTACAACTGTCAAAATGGAAAAACTCCAAACAAATCCGTTAAGTAAGGCCAGCTATTAACGGACGGCTCCACGTTTTATCTCCCCTCGCTAAATTTCCGTCCCTTCGCCTTTTTTACTTTTCTTTTTTTTCGGAGTTTCCATAAATTTTAACCGACAACGTTTTATCCATTTTATTACGGCCTAGATTTACCCCTCCAGATCCCTTGGCCGAACAAGGCCTACAAATCACCACCAAATTTTCACTGCCAAAAAGTAAAATTAAAAATTAAAAAAAGAAAAAAGAGAACTTTTTGGTTAATAATTTCAAGATCCTTTCTCATGGATCCGCGCGTTTTTATTTTTAGTGGGAGAGACAGAGTCCGACGTGGCACTTCCCTCTTCCACTCCCCGTCGTCGTCTCTCTTCAAAACACAGCTGGGATCATCTTTTTCTTCCTTAGACCGCACTTTTTCGGCGGATTACAGTACGGATTATTTTTTTTCTCCTCCATTTTTCTCTCTCTCTCTACAGTTTTTACATTCCGTTTTTTAACCAATTTTTTTCTGTCGTCAAGCTCCTCTGCTTCTCTTGCTCTGTCTTTTCTGTGGAGATGATTTCATGATGTTCTTCCATTTGCCGTCCTCCTTTTCTTCTTTCAATCCTTCAATGGTGGGACAGATTTTTTGACGTCTGGTTTTTGCTCTTCTGGGTTTCTTGCCATGTGGGTTTCTCGGGTTTTGGATTCTTGATTGATTGATGCGTTTACTGGTTCCAATCGCGGAGTTCTTCTTTGCCTTGTTATTGGGTTTTGGATTCTCCCCATTTTCCTGATCCCTCGGTTTTCTTCCTTATTTTAACCCCTCAACTTCCGTTTCCCATCGAGTTTGCTTCCATTTCGAAATGTTCGACATGTTCTTCAAGCCTAAGTTCTTCACAAAATGGTAAGCAACTTTTCGCAAACTCTTTTCTCTCGGAATTGATTCTGATTCTCATTTCTCTGGGTTTTCCTTTTAACCATTTTTTTATGCAGCAAATCTTGCGTGAAGCTTTTGAAGATGCGGCTGGATACAATCCGGAAGAAGAAGAATGCGGTTCTCAAGTTTTTGAAGAATGACATTGCTGAGCTTCTCAGAAGTGGTCTCGACCAAAACGCCTATAATAGGGTCTGTTCTTCTTCTTTCTCCGTTTCTTAATCTGGGTTTTTCGATTCTTAATCTCTGGTTGGTTTTTGATTCTGTAAATTATGGTTTTCAATCACCCACATGATGAATCTATACTTTCTTGCCTTTTAGTTCCTTTCTGTGCTTTCGCTTTATGTGTTAAAATTAGACCCCACTGACCAAAGCTTTTGGCCTCCTTTACACATTCTTCTTTAAGTTAATGTCACATCATTTTTAATTCCTTATCTTTCTGTGCTTGTTCTTCACAACTCTTGAGAAGTTTTGGTTTATCTTCTCCTGGTTTTCATCGCTAATCTTGTGTAATTGCTTGTGCTGATGGTGAAACAGGCTGAAGGGCTTCTTGTTGAGCGGAATGTATTGAAATGTTATGATCTGATTGATGAGTTTTCTGGGACGATCTATAATCAACTTTCTGTCTTGAGTAAGCAGAGGTAGATATCATTGCTTTCAGAACAATTTCTCTTTTTCAGGCTTGAACTTGTATAGATGAACTTATATGTGGCTTTCCCACTTTTTTGTTTCTTCTCTAGTGAGTGTCCCGACGAATGCCGAGAAGCAGTCGCGTCGCTGATTTACGCTGCAGCGAGATTCGCTGACTTGCCTGAATTGCGGGAGCTAAGGAGTCTCTTTACTGCGAAATATGGAAGATCCTTTGAACAATTTACCAACAAAGAGGTTGTTCTTTGTGGCTCCTTTCTATTGATAAAAACTCGATTTGAGGGTGTTTCTTCTTTTTATATTGAAATGTGTTTCGGTTTGGGTTCTTGCTTTCCCTTTTAGCTCATCGAGAAGCCGAGTGCGATGGCAATGACTAAAGAGGTGAAGCTCCAGCTACTCCAGGAGATAGCACAGGAATCAGGCATTGAATGGAATTCCAAGGCTTTGGAACAACAACTGTATACTCCTCCCCAAAATACAGTAAGTTGATTTGCTCTTTACTGAATTTTCTCTACCTTTTTGATCGAGATGAGCGAATGTTAAAGTAGTATGAGATTTGAGAGGGCCGAATTGTTTCGATTTTGAGTGATTTCTACCAAGTTCTGTTGAATGGAGTTCATGAAAATGATGCATTTTCATTATTTGTATGTATTGTTGATTTTCCTTCATTTTGTTGATGGTACACTTGGATACAGCCTGATGAGGAGCCAAATGCAGACAGAAGAAACAAAGCCAAGGTTGTTTCTATTCCAGTGTTTGAAAGAAAGACGAGCTTGCTTCAAAAAAAGGACAACAGCGACGACGATTCCATCTTCGACAGTAGAAGCGAAGACAATGGAACCGAAACCTCAACAGGAGATAGCAGTACTGATCAAGATGTTCAGAAAGGTGTATTTGAGGATGAAGTAGAAGATCGAAAACCTTTCTACCTTAGATTTATCCCACCTCCCTACCTCAAATCCAAGCCTAGCAAAAAGGAAGCGAGTTTTGAGAAGCCAGCCGTGGAAGAGAAGCCGAAACCCAGATCTGTGAGGCGAAGAAATAGTAAACTTGAGCCTACAAGGGACATCAACATTGGCAATGTCGACAACTCCGCGAACGATGGTACAGAAAAGGCTAGTTCGAGTCGAAACAAAGGAAAAGAAACCATGATGGGAGAAGAGAAAGGTGCAGGGGAGGAAGAGAGGATGTTAGATGGGCTTTTGATGCATTATAGTAAGAAAAAATCAACTCAAGAATCAAACAGAGCAAAAGGCAACCTTAAATCCCAAAAACACAAAGAACAAGATGAACCTCAAAGGACCAAAAATTCAAAAGCTGAGGAGGACCTTTCTGTCCCAGGAAGATCAGTTTCACTTCCCAGAGACACAAATGAGCCAATTGTTCCAATGAAGAGGCATACTAGAAACAATTCCTTTGTGCATCCTAAGCTCCCGGATTACGACCAACTCGCAGCTCGGTTTGCAGCTCTCAAAGAGAAGTAAAAGTCATTGATATCGTTCCAGTATTATCGAGTAATTATTGAATGTGACTGACACAAGATGGAAAAGTCTCCTCCTCGGAGATTCTCTTTTTTAGAAACCGGCCCAATTGCACACTTGCAATTCTATCTAGGAAATTCTAATTCTCCCTTGGCAATGTCTAAATACTTTATAGCATGTAGTGTGCAGTGCTTTACAAGTGCAGTAAAATTTCTCTAAAAAGTGGTACATAATTCACATTTACAGATATTTTCAGTGCCATTTTACTCTTGTCTTGAGCCTTATTTTTAACCTTAATTTTGATTAGAGACAGACATCCTGAAATAATTTGTCGGAGAATCCACGACAGGAAGGAAGACAACCTTGGGAGTCGTTMATTCAAAGGATTTTACGATTGGTCCATGCTGTTACTGTTTGGCCACTTTTTCTTAGACAAACAGACAAATTTTCTAGTTCCTCAAAATGACCAAAATCCTTGTCAGGATATTAAATATATGCTCGCACGGAAGTGGAATTTTTATTTTATAAATTCTATAATATATAATAATTAGTATATATAGATGTAAAAATTCGAATTTACGAACAAGTATTACTCATATYATTGATAATAATACAATACTTTGAAATATTGTATTTGATCCAAATTTAGTTATGCAAATATTTTAGGTTAAATTTTATTGTTCAATTGGTTAAATGCATGAACTCCCACTCCTATTTTCACATATTGTTAAAAAACAAATATATAATTTATTTAGGAATTAGGACTCTGAATACTTTATAATAATAAGATTTAAAATTAAAACTGAATAAAAAAGAATAAAAACATTGGTCAGCCATTTTTTTCAAAAAGACATTAATATTCTCGCCAACAATAACAGCGATGGAATATAAAAACCTTGCGTTAAGTTGCAATGACCAATCACATTTATGATCTAATTTAAGGCATATTTTCCGTATTTTATTTTTATTTTTTCTAATTAAAAATACAAAGGTGTCTGAAACGACGACGTATTGTACTGTCATCTCCTCCATTGCTTCTGCGAGACTGCGAGTGCTGCCTTTTTCTTTTTGCCTTTTCCTTCTAAAAGGAAGAAACCTGCAACGAAGAAAGGAAAGAAACCTCTTTTTTCGTCATTCGAAGAACATCACAAACGTAAAGTAGATCTTGATTCTCTCATTCGTCTTATATCCGAAGCCTCCTTCATGTTCAATTCTCAGAGAAATCTCCCCTCTTCTTCGCCATTTCACGATGGGCTGTTCACAATCCAAGATCGAGAACGAGGAGGTGGTTTCCCGATGTAAGGATCGAAAATTGTTTATGAAAGATGCCGTCGCCGCCCGGAATGCCTTCGCGGCGGCGCATTCTTCCTATGCTATGTCGCTCAAGAACACCGGTGCCGTTTTGAGCGATTACGCGCATGGAGAGGGCCCGGCTCCCGTGCCTGCTGCAGCCGTTGTTCAATCGGCGGCGTCGGCGGCAGCGTCGGCGTCTTATAATAGCCTGCCTCCGCCGCCGCCGCCGCTTCCCGGTTCTCCTAGCACGCAGCTCCAGCACGCGACGAGTATGTTCGAAATCAAGGCCTCGAAGGTTGAATCGAAGCGTGTGGAGCCGGTTATTGAGGAAGTCGATGAAAATGATATTGAAATCGAATGCTCCGTCGGTCCGTTGCGGAGGAGGAGCAGTAGAGAAGGCGGCGGACATGGCGGTAAAATGGCACTTGCGGGAGGAGAAAACCGTCCACCTCCACCTTCGAGCGAGAACCGTCGTGTTCACGCGCCGTCGCCTCAGGATTCGACATACGATTATTTGTTTTCGTTGGAAAATATGCCGGCTTCGACGTTGAGCGGTGTCGAGGATTTTGGTACTAATACAGAAGCGATGGAGCGGAGAGCGGCGGGGTCGGAGAAATCCGGCGAAGAACCGCCATCGTCTTCGGTGGGGAAAACGTCGAAGAAGGTGAGACAAGTAGGTTTTCCGGGTTCGAGCGAAGGGAAAAGAATTGTTAAAGGGAATATCAATCTTCTGCAAATCTTCATGGAGCTAGATGATCATTTTCTTAAAGCTTCAGAAAGTGCTCACGAGGTTTCGAAGATGCTCGAGGCCACTCGGCTCCATTTCCACTCAAATTTTGCCGATAATCGAGGTAACCAGCTCGATTTCTATACCAACTTCAAAATTAATCGTTCAATCATTTGAAGAAACAGAGGAACTTTAATTTATTGATTGTGGAAACCGTTCCAATTTTGTTTTTGCGTTTGATTCCTCAGGACACATCGATCATTCTGCTAGAGTGATGCGTGTTATAACATGGAACAGATCATTCAGAGGATTACCCAACAATGATGATTTGAATGATGATTTTGATACAGAGGAACATGAAACTCATGCCACTGTGTTGGACAAATTGCTCGCTTGGGAGAAGAAACTATTCGAGGAAGTGAAGGTCGAAAATCTCGAATCCCTTTTTCTCTCGCTCTCCATTTCTTGTATTTTACTGAAAAATTCACTTGTTCCTACTGTTTTTCGGATAGGCAGGTGAAATCATGAAGTTTGAGTACCAAAAGAAGGTTGCTGCTCTGAACAAGCTGAAGAAAAAAGGCTCCAATTTTGAAGCAGTTGAGAAAGCCAAGGCCACTGTCAGCCATTTGCACACCAGATACATCGTTGACATGCAATCCATGGATTCCACTGTCTCCGAGATCAACCGCATTCGAGATCAACAGTTGTATCCTAAACTTGTTCAGCTTGTCAATGGGTAATGAGTTCTTCTGATATGAAACAATGCTTAAATTTAGATTAACAAAAAAGCATTTGGCCCTCTATTTTCATTTAGTCCCTAAATCTCAATACGTAATGATTTAACTCAAGTATACAATGATTTAGTATCTGATTTGGTCCTGAGGAATATATTGATCAGTGTTTTACAGTTTATTAAGTTATGAATTGCAGAATGGCTAGTATGTGGGAAACTATGTATTTTCACCATGGAAGCCAGTTGAAGGTTGTGGCTGCTCTGAGATTGCTGGATATCTCTCAGTCGCCCAAAGAAACAAGCGATCACCACCATGAGCGCACGGTGCAGCTTTGGGCCGTCGTGCAGGAGTGGCATTCCCAATTGGAGAAGCTTCTTAGCCGTCAGAAAGATTACATAAAGGCTCTCTCAAATTGGTTAAGGCTGAATCTGATCCCTACAGAGAGCAGTCTAAAGGAGAAGGTTTCTTCCCCTCCAAGGGTCTGCAGCCCCCCAATTAAAGGGCTCCTCCATGCTTGGCAGGACCATCTCGAGAAGCTCCCCGACGAGGTCCTCCGAAATGCCATATTCACTTTCGCTACTGTGATCAACACCATAATGCAGAGCCAGGAGGAGGAGATGAAAATGAAGGCAAAATGTCAGGAGACTGAGAAGGAGCTGGCGCGGAAGAGTAGGCAATTCAAGGACTGGCAGAAGAAGTATGTGCAGCGGAGAACTGCCGATGAAGCGAACGCAGAGGAAACGGGAGATAAAGACGCTGTGGCGGAGAGGCAGGCCGTGGTCGAGGCAGTAGAGAAGAGGCTGGAGGAAGAAAGGGAAGAGTACCAAAGGGTATGCGTCCATGTGAGGGAGAAGTCATTGGGGAGCTTGAAAAACCAGCTGCCAGAGCTGTTCAGGGCATTGTCTGAGTTTTCGTTGGCTTGTTCACAAATGTATAGGCACTTGAAATCAATGTCACAGCCGCAGCCGCTGCCCTCCAGCAGGCCACATAATCAAACAACGGCACAAGGAGTTGCAATTGCAACATAAACACAGACGAAGAAGCAAGTTACTTAAAGGTGTTTCTCTTGATTCTTCTTTTTTTCTATCTCTTTTTGTCATAGTACTGTACTGTTAATTGTTATTACAAAGTATAATGTGACACGATTACAAAGAAAGTTTGGTATAAAAATGAAGCAATTGAAGACAACCAAGTCGCGAGTTAATTTCTTTACTTCTATGAATGATTTTATTTTTCGCCTTCAAGATAATCTAGTTGGCAAGAATTTGAGATTTCTAAGTTTGAACCTTAGGGTAGATGCGGATGCTCTTAAATATAGGGAAACAAAGCTCTGACTCACAACAAAAAAGAATGATTTTATTTTTCCTAAACATGTGAAATATCATTATGCTTCATCTTTAGGTAATTTTCAATTGGTTAAAACAAATTTAACAGTTTTTTTCCATTGGTGGCCTAATTGAAAATTTATAAAGTTTAAATCGAAAATATGTAAATATTAAAAATTGAATAGAGAATGGCAATTGAAACAGAGTTTTTTTAAGTAGTTTAGGAAACCATTTCCAGGGGAGTCTCTCAAGCAAGTTCTAGATTATTCAGCATTACTTCTTATAATTTTGTATTATATATTTGGATTTTTAAAATTATTATATGGTTTTCTTCTCAAATTAATTTAAAATGTTAAATAAAAAATTTCGATTGGTATGAAATGTTTCCAAGAAATGAATAAAAAATAACCCAGAAAGTAAAATTTTTTTAGCACTACCATAGTGAGAATCCATAAATTTTATTTTAGTCCATAAATTTTATTTTAGTTCAAAAAAAAGTTTTGATCTTTACCCTTTATTTATTTATTTTTCTTTCACAAATTAATGACATAGTAGCTTACAACTTTTAATAACACCATCAACCATTTTCAATTAAATAACGTGGAAGTCGACAATGCCAAATTGCTTTAGACACCACCACACCTAGAAAAAAACCAACATTTGAATAAAAAACAAACATTTGAATTAGAAGCAAAATAAACCATGCTGTACTAAAAAAATAATAAATAAATAAAACTTTAAGGGACGCTCTATGGACCTTGATCAACCCGTCTCAACACCACTTTGCCCCTACGAATGTAAGACAGAAATTAACATTAAATTCATATCTCGTGAGCGAGGATCTAGAATTTTAGTGTACAAACATAAATAAATAAATATATATAATGGAAAAATATGAATTTTAAACTCGAACATGACAGACATGTGTCATTGGTTTCAACGGAGATCCACCTCTCCCATAGACTTACTAAGTTTTTTTTTTGTTATATCAAGCACACATAAAAAGTTAAAACTATTTATTTTAAATGAAAAAAATACATTTCTCTAAAAAAAACAATGTTTAAAAATCAAAATAGGTTGACGTTGAGTTCCAACCCAAGACTATAAAAACATATTAAACAAACTAAGATGAGATTCAACCATAAAAATATATTTAAAAAGAAAAAAATATGTTTAAAAAAATAAATAAATATATATTTTTAAAAATAATAATAACAATAAAAATATATTTAAATGAAAAAATTAACAGGCCGAAAGATATTTTATTTAATAAATTATATACTATATTTTATTTAACTAAAATTCAGGCCACGTACCCGTGGTCCCAACATAAAATTCCACATATTTACTAAGTTTTTTTTTTTTTAGTTATATCAAGCCCCCATAAAATATTTGCAAATTTATTAAGCCAGATTCAGATGCTTAACCAACATGAGAAATCATTAATTTATCTCAATTTAACTCGTTAATTGGGTAGGCGACATTAATTTAACTCGTATAAGGGGGATGTTAAGCAATTTACCACTGTAAAATAATATCGAAGTTAAAAGGTTTCTTCTAGAAGTTTCCTTCAAACAAATTTGTGGTACGTACAGTTGTGAATTTGTTATTTTTAGCCATAATTCTGTTATAAGATTTTGTCAAATGGATTTAAACCATCAAATAAAATATAGAAAAAAGAAATCCAAAGAATTCTCAACTCCATAGCGTAATTATAGTGCTAATTATAGTTCAGTGGTATGTATATAAACTCCTCCCCACACCACTCTCAAATCAAGCCTTCACTACTCTTGCAGTTCTTCACCTTCATTTCATAGAACTGCAATTCATTCAATAATTTCCGAAAGGAAAAGAAAACAAAAAACCCCAAAACCAAAAACAAAATAAAATAATGGCCCGCCAATTCGTTGCTTTTGCCCTCGTGCTCTTCGCCGTCGTCGGCTTCGCCTGCGCGGCTTCCCCGGCCGAACCCCCGAAGGCCGCGGCCAACAGCACCGCCGCCGACGCCGGAGCAGCTGCGGCCCCCGGCGCCGACAACGAGATCGGAAACACTGACGGAGCCGCCGCTGCTCCGGGAGCAGGCGAAGACATCGTCGAAGGCCCAGTGGGTGGACCCGGCGCCGCCGCCGGAGGTGATCTTGTGCCGGCAGAATCGCCCAAGAGCGGTGCCGAGGCTGTGAAGATTTCCGCCGTCGCCGGAGTCGCAGCAATCGCCGGCTTTTTCTGCTTCTAAGTATTATTAATTCTGCCACAGATTCTGATTCTTGTATGTTTATTGTTTGTGATGAAATAATAAAGTGAGGGTTCCATAAATTCAATTTGTCTTCGTCTTCTTCATTTTCGTTATTTGTTTTCCATTTTATGAATTCAAATACAAAATTCTATTAATTTGGGTTTTCTGTTTTTACGGACTTATTTCAAAATTTGAGCACAAATTAAATATAGCAAAAAAATTGAAAAAGAGCAACAAAATGGAAAAAAATATTGTATCTCATGGTAAGGTAAGACATTTCTATCCTACTAAAAAAAATCAACAAAATGCTACTAATGTAAACCTATATTAATATTAATCATTTTCAATTTATTTAAAAATAAAAAATGTTTATTAGTATATTTTAATATTTTTTATGGTTTTCTAATTTCTCCAACTTTTAGATTTTCTATGAAGTTGAGATCTCTATTACCTAAAACCTTCCTAGTTTTTCTTTTCAATTGTATTAAAATTTTGGAAATTCTACTAGTAGAACCTAAATTATGTATATAAAAAAACTAGAAATTCTATTAGTAGTAAGAAATGAGATCCTTTATTAGTAAAATAAAATTACAAAAAAAAACTTAATTTAAAACTCAATATTTTAAAGGCCCAAACAAAGATAACATATAAGAAGAATTTATCACATAAATAACATATAGAAGTATTTTCATTAAAAGTTTTCAAATATTTTGCAACTATGGAACCAATTTGAGTTGCTCAAATGATACCTTAAAAATCAATTTTAAGTGATTTTATGTTTTCTTAAAATCAATTTTTTAATTTATCAAATATAATTAATGGAAATGGGAGTGATTTTGTTTTCTAACTTTTTATCAATGGAAATGGATGTGATTTTACCTAATTTATATAAAAAAAAAGTTCTTAAAATTTAACCTTTCAATTTTGTACAATGGTTTAAATTTAGTTTCAAATCTCCCTATAATTTTAAAGTTTAAATTTGGTATTTTATGATTTTGTCAAATTTCATAATTGCTATACCTATAATTATCTATAATTTAGAAAAATGTTTTTAGACGATTTCCATCCCTTCTTAATTTAATTATAAATAGTAAATTAATTATTTATCAATAATATTTTGTATCGAATCTAAAAATTTGAAATACAAACATTTTCTCATTTCATTCCCAATAATGTAAATAGTTTCCTTTAATAGTTTTAATTATAATTTAAAATTAAATTATTAAAATAGTTTTATCTTTATTGGGATTAAAGTTTAGTATATAACCAAAAATATTAGCTTGAAAATCTTTAAATTTTTAATAAACAAACAAATTACTTAGGAAAATAATTGGCCAACTTATGCAAAAATAACTTTTTTCAAAATTAAAATACGAAAATATATACTAATATACTTTTTTAGCTTTTTTTTTTCTTTTTCTTTTTTTTTCAGAATAAAAGAAATACACAATAATTAAGCTTGAAGTAACGAAAAAACTCTCCTTTCGCCTTGTCGACCTCAAAATTTGTATTTCGGACTTTGAGGAAGACAAGAAAAATTCCCCCCTCTCATTTCTCACCAAACTTCTAATACCCGTAAGTTGCAAACTCTACATAGATATTAAAAATAATAAAATATAATTCATTAAAAAAAATTAAAAAAATATGAGGTAATGCAAAATTAAATGACAGAGATTCTCAATTCATCGGTTTCATCTTCTTGTAAAAATATTAAAGTTTAATTTAATTATTTTATTTTATTAAATGAATATGAACTTTTTGTAATGTGAAAAGTTTTATAATTCTTACCTTCCTTTAACAATAAAATTAAGCTCTATTTTAAGAAAATTATGACAATTAAAATACATACTAGTACTAATTGCAAAAATAATTAAGAAATTTTCATGATTGAGTAAATAATAAAACATTAAAAATACATATAAATTTAATTTTTAATAAGATATAAATTTATCATAATAACTAATGATTTATGCGATTGGTATCATTTTTATTTTTTTAAAAAAAAAAATTGTACAACTATATATATAAACCAAAACGTAATTTTGAATATTTCACACATTTTTTTATTTTTAACTTATTTTAATAATAATAATAATAGTTATTTTAATATTATATGTTTACAATTACACTAATGATAAATAATAAAGTAAATTTATCGATTCGTGATATTATAAGGATGATCATGAAACACAAAAATCACTGCTATACTTTTGAGAGTTCAGGAAATTAAATATAATATACATCGATTTATTTGGAAATTACACTAAATTGCATAAAAATTTAATATCTACCTTAAAAAATCACAAACATGACTTTTGATTTGTCTCACGTGATTGTTCAAATTTACCTTTTTCTCTGGCTTGATTTAGTTCTTTCTTTTTCTTTTTTGAGCCTCCTATGTCCATTATCTAAATTACGTAATAAGTTTTAGCTTTTTTAAATTGAAGCTATTATTTAAATTAAATACATATTTCATTAATTATTGTAAATAATTGTAAATGACATGTTTTGTGTTAAACTTGGACAAAAACAAAACTAGAAAAATAGATTATGCTATAGATATAGTGACAAAAGGCAAATATCAATCTTTCGACCGTAATGGAAAATTAATTACTCTTGATAAAAGAAAATGCAAATGGATCGTAAATTTTGAATTATTTTCGTATGATTCACATATCAATGATAATAAATTGAAATATTCATATAAGGTCATAAAAATGAAAGAGGAGAAACGAAGTTCAGCAACTACTCCATCCCTCTACATCAATTTCATCTTCTCAGAGCTCTCTCCAATTGCTCAATTATTCACGGTGATGTGCAGCTTATCTGAAAGGGAAAAAAAAAACAAAAAATGAATTAATATTTTTCAAACTCACTAATTTCAAGACTCTAATTCAACGACTCGAGAATAAAAGTTTCGATACTTTTATAATGCATATAAGTTGACGTACCAGCAACTTCCTTTTCATCACAATCCTCATCGCACTTAACTTCACAGTGGCTAATGCCATTGCCTTTCTCCAAACACTCCTTCTCACAAGCTGCGTAGCATAACTTGAATCTCGTCGTAAACTTCGCCTCGAACTTGTCCTCCTTCTTCTCGACGTTATCGGCACTTGAGAACTGCACTATGGCTGCGGCCACCACAATGCACATCAGAAACACTGCATTCATCTTCTTGGCGGCCATTGTTTTTTCTTCTTGTTCTTCGCTTTGGTTTTGGGCCCTTTAATTTACAGTGTTTCCTTTTTCTTGCCAGTGGATGAATGTTTCAAAAGATGGCAACTCCATTTTATAGGGCTCTCGTGTACCTATATTTAGATTATTTGGTAACAAAATTACCTACAAATAGATTATTCCCTCTTCCAAATTTGGACCATTTTCCCATCTCATTGTTTAATTGAACAACAACTATATGCAATCCATTTGTAACAAACATATATTACACTTGTCATGGAGTGACAAATATGTGAACATATGGGGCAAAAAGGAAAAAATTAAATATGTGACACGTTTTGTATTTTATTTTTGAGCTCACTTGCATTTTCTATTTAACTGATTATGTTATCATGATGGTAGGTCCGACTAGAGTTGGCATGAGACGAGAACGGGAATGCATTCTCCATCCAGGTATAATGCTACAGCTAAATGAAACGAAAAGACAAAGCTTTCAAGCTCAATTCCTAGTTGCTACAACGGGTTTGTCTGCATATGATGATGTCCACTGTTCGAAGGTAGAAAAGCAAGGCAAGTGTGAAGACAAAAGCTAATTAAGAGATGAGGGAGGAACGGTATTAACTGTCGGAGTTAAGAATCATCAACAAGGGCATTGAGATTTCTCTAACTATTATTTCTTTGCGGTGAATTTTTTATAAAAGTAATATAATATAGAGTTAAATAAGCAATCTTAATATTTTATAAATATTTAAATTTATTAAACAAACTATTTAAAATAATTAAAGTGTTTTAATGTAGCAATCTTTTTCCTTTCAATAATTTTTTTTAAATAGGGAAAATGTCTAAACAAAAAATGAAAAACCTAACATAATATTATATATCCTTGAAATTTTGTTCACCTCAAGTCACAATAAAAATACATAATAAAATAAAATACAAGAATATATTGGGATGGGTCTATTGGCCATTGGGCTCTAAAATATTGTTTTATTGATATTATTGCATAGAAATTAATATTGTCTATAAATATTAACATTAATATTTAGAAAATAACCAAATAATGACAAATGTCTATTTCACTTTCTGGAACAATTTTCATTCCCTTTTGAATTTTTTGTTCAGGAATAGGCATGGAAGATGCTAATTGATGAGGCATAAACGATACCAGAAATACATGGTATATAGTCGGGAGTATTCAATTTTATTTATTTATTATTATTATTATTTAATACGATAACAGTCTATTAAAATAGTGGATGAATAAAAATTATTATTGCCAAAATATTAGAACGATGACTTAAATTTCTACAAATGATAAAATAATTATTACTATTTCTTTTTTATGGAAATTTGAGTTTGTTAAAGACAACCCTGAACAGAATGTGTGGCTTTTCAAAATTCTCAAGAGTTTATTGAAAAATGGAATTAATTTTTATGAAAATGTCAGAAGTGGGATTTGAACCCACGCTCTCTCACGAGAACCAGAACTTGAGTCTGGCGCCTTAGACCACTCGGCCATCCTGACAATTATAAACATAATTATATTTTATAATATTTACTGCTTATATTTAATATTTCAGCACAATGAATTTTTCGTAAACGACACGTCGGACTTGAATAAGATTTCCACCAAAGAGGCGTGATTGGACTAATTGTCAAGGTGTACCCTTAATTTCGAGGCCCAATTTCATCGGACGACAATCGTCCAAACCCTATTAGTGGGGTGAGTCTACCAACCCAACAAGTCAACTCTTAGGCTAGGCACGAAAAAGTTTCCAATACTACCAWAGTATCATGCTCTCTTTCATTTATAAAATAAACAAAACGAATAGACCCACAATAATTATAATAGACTAATGATGTGGCAAGCAATAAATAAAATGGAGTAATCAGAGATTTTTCCGACTAAGCATAGACAGTTTTTGTTTTTGCACTATTGAAAATTTGACAACTTATTAATTCTTAAAAAAAATCCATTTTTACATTTCTCTCTCGTAATTATCAAATATTTAATAATTGGTTTTCACCGTTAAGGGACCAAGTATTTCCCAACTGTAGGTCTCAGTAAATTTATTTCAATATTTATTGAAACAACCATACAATCCACTATATATTAGTGTAATCCTATGTCAAACTATAAAGTAAACGCATTCATAATTCCATTTATCAAACAAACAAACTCTYTCTTTGTTCTTATTATATTTTTATACTTAATTTTAGTTAGTTTGACCAGCTACATGCTTTGGTTACTATTCCTATTTCAATTATCATTTATTTTCAAAAAATACCTTATTGATTAATTTGTTTATGAAATCAAAATGTTACTTTGGGTTTATTTAAAAACAAAAGTGTTTTTAATGTGAGTTTCCCATTCAAACCATTTTGTGCGCAAAGTATGAATGTTTAAACTACCATTAAGAAAATATTAAATATACGCATAGTATTTTAGTAGGAGAAACGAGTGGATTTGACCATATACCTCTTATTTAATATATTATTTTAAAGTTTTTGTAACTATTAGAATGCTACGAAAGTTCGATTCTAATGTCATCCCTCTTTGAACGGAAGATTCGTGCTCTTTTTAGTTTTTGATTTGATCATCGTATTTTTGTCTATCTACGTTGCATATGTTGCTTTTTACTTTTTGTTATATCATTATAATTCTACTTATTATGATTATTACTTTTTATGAATGAGACCGTTGCTTGATTTTTTTTATTTTTTTTTTACTACATCCACGCATAAAAATTCATGGAATTCAACTTACCCACGTACAATTTAACTAATTAAAATATTAGTTGAAAACATAGTTCAACTAGTCAAAACATTACTTACTTCCTTAAACTGAGATGTCCTCGTTGAATTCAAAAAAATTAATAAATAAACAAACAATACATTAATAACTTTTCTTAAGAAAAAGGGTTTTTTTTTTGAATGGCAATAATCTTTATGAAAAAAAATACAAATTAATTTAATACAAAATCATCCATCTTAGCTTTCATGTTCTGTGATCAAGATTGAAAGTAGGAAAAAGAATCATAATTTGTCAAATATGAAGGTTGAGAAATTAGTTTTATTTACTTGAAGAAGTTAGGTTGAAAATATCAATCTTTTGTTGGAGACTTCAAAGAAGCTTTTTAAGATATAAATTTTAGGAATTATGCAATTCTTATGGGTTTCCCGACACCAAATGTTGTAGGGCCAAGCGGTTGTCCCATGAAATTAGTTGAGATATGCGTAAGTTAGTTCGGATATCAAAATAATAATAATAATAATTTTAAACCAACAAAATTTTGTTAGTTGAAATGTCACTAGTGAGCTACAAAATTTGTTTTTTAGTTCATTAAAAAACCACAGTTAATTTATTTACTTATTTTATAAATACCACAATAAATTTAATCAAAACTATTAGAAGAAATTTTTGAATATTCTTTTACTAGGAAGCTAATTAAATTAGAGTAGATTGTGGCCAAATGCATGCTTCACTTCTTCACAAGAATTTCAATAACTTACTAAAGATGAGAATTTGAAAATTGGTTACAATTTCCATATATGTGATAAGGAAAATTTTTATTATGCAATTATTTGGTAACTAAATCCCAATTGTTCCATGCTTATTTAATAACCCTACCATATAACATTCCTAAGTTTCTAACTTCCATAATCAACAAATTTTCTAAAACTGTGGTCTTAAATCTTATTTTTTTTAAATAAAAAAGAAATATATAATGACATAAATATTTATATTTAAAAAAGAAATAGAAGATGACACAAATATTTAAAAAAGAAATAGAAAATGACACAAGCACGCCTATTTATTATTAGACACAAATAATAATTATTTTCCTTCATTGACCTATCATACTTTCAATGGACAAAATTTAAATCAATGGAGTGATTTTTTTTTCAAAGGTCATGTATAATGGAAAGGAAAAAAATGTTCTCACAGTCTAAGTTCAAGGAAAAAAAACCTACAAAAATGCTACAGAAACACGAACAAAAACAACGACAGACCAAATTAAATAGGCAAACAACATAAGAAACCACAAGCACAAAAATCATAAACTAGAAAAGAAAAAAAAAACAGTGAAAATAAATCTCACGCAGACCCATCAATATTTAGAATATGAACGCATTGTCTCGTCAAGTGGTAGCACGAGCATAAACACCGCACTACATAAGATGTAAAATAACTAACCCCATAAGAGAGACACAACCATAGATTTTGAAATTACATTTTCTTCAAATATGAGATACAGAGCCAACAATCATTCATCCTCTACTAATGCGACAAATTCATACAAACTTACTAAAGCGAGTCCAACAACAATAATTGACATATATCTCCAGCCAAAAGGTTGTGAGTTCGATTCCCCACTTCCACATATTTGTACTAAAAAATATAACTCTATACCTCATTTATGGAATGAATTGAATTGAAGGCTACAAATTTATATAAAAGAAAACCAATAACACATACAAATATACTAATGAAAGCAAACACACAAACCACTAGAAACTACAAATTTTCTTAAATTCAACATAAATTTGATTATTCCACCATCATTTAAATTAGTCAATAATCGTATCTTGGTTAGGTTTTATCCAACTCAAACCCAACAAACTTAGTCAAGAAAATTATAATTGCATTCTACTATAGTTGGACCTTAATTCTTCTAGCAATAACTAAGTTCAATGTCTATGGTAAAAAAGATTATTAAAAAAAACTTCAATATTGGAAATCAAAGTCAACCAACCAAGCCACTACCGTTGAGTTCCATCCCTTTAATTAAATATTCATTTTACTGTTTTTTTAATTTGAGAAAAAAAAACGTATTTTTTAGGCCATTAATATTTTTATGTTACTTTCTTTCTTTCTTTCTTTGTGTTGGTTGTTTTCTTTATAAGAACCAGTTTTCCCACTGAAATTTTCAAAGCCAAACCCAAAAAACTCAAAACAGTTCATAAATTCATCAGAAAAAGATGCCTAGAAAATTGCAGAAATCGCTTCAGGATTACCTCTCGAAGATCAAAAAGCCAACGCCGCAGATTCAATTTCCCAATCCCAACACGTTTTCGTCTTCAAAAAGTTGGATTTTGTCTGGTTGCAAGCATCCGAAGACGCTCTCCTTCGCCGTCGATCGGAAACAAGCCGACGGCGGCGCCGGTAACAACGACGACACCGCCGCCACGCTCGCCGATATCGACCGGTTCCTTTTCGAAAACTTCCGGTCGTTGTACCTGAAAGAGGATGAAGATTTCGGTGAGAGAAAAGCAGGGGGGGGAGATCGAGACGGCAAGAATCCAAGAGGAGTTTCACCTGAATCGCTGATGGATTCCTACAGCGGATCTCACCGATTCTTCTTCTCCCCTGGCTCATCGGGATCTCTTCCGGACGATACTCAGACAGAATCGTCGGAAAATGCAGGATCGAGCTCTTCGTCTTTGAATTGCGAAGATCGAGGCAAAGACCTAAAACTTCCGAACGATTGCATCGCGATTCTGAGGTACTCGCTGAGTCCGTCTGAGGAATTCCGGCGATCGATGCAAGAGATGATGGATGCTCATTTGAAACACAATGAGAAAATCGACTGGGAATTCATGGAAGAGCTTCTGTTCTCCTTCCTAAATCTGAACGAGAAGAAGTCGCACAAGTACATACTAAATGCTTTCGTGGATTTGATTGTGATTTTGCGGCAGAAAGCCGACGATGCTCCGGCGAAGGCCCGGACCGTCCGAAGCGTTAGAATGGTGAGGAGAATGATGTGAAATTTGCAGAATTAATCAAACGATGTTGAAAGTGAAACAAAGATTTCATAAAATAATAATGAACACAGTAAGTGGTGGGGAGAAATATATTATGATTTGGAATTTTTGAAGCTGTTAGAACAATTGTAGTCTTTGTCTGGTTCTACAACTCAAAAAGAACAGACTTAATTAAATGTATTCTACATTCTCAAGTAAATTCAACTCTGTTTCTGGATCGTACTGATTTTCTTTTTTTTTTTCTTTTTCATTTTTTTTAACTATTTATTCCATAGCCTTAAATTAACTAGAAAATAACGCTGAAAATCAATCCCAACACATTTGATAGCCTTAAAAAGTGATTCTGGAGACTAGGGAGGCTCTTCGTCGTCTCAGGTCCGTTGGATCAGCTGATATTTTGGCTTTTGACCTTTATGTCCTGTGAAATAGGTGTTTTCCCTTCCAATGTAACCCTTGGTGGTGTTGTTCCTTGTCAATAAAGTTTTCCTTTAACTAAAAAATAATAACAATAAAAAATCACAACACTATTGTTTCATTAAATTATGAATTTGATATTTCTACGCCATTTCAATTTGGCCCATAAATTTCAATTTCATTTAAAATTGAAACTTGTAGAAATACAAAGGGCGAATAAAACTTAAGCCCAAACCATGGAACCTTTTAAATTTAAGTTTAAATCACACCCACAATAAATTTATAACTTAACCTATTATTCTCGTGGGCGATGGAGGAAGATCAATAAAGAGATTTCGATAAATATAAAGGGAAAAAAATGGTCTCTCATCTTATCTAGGTCTCAATACACGAAAAAAAAATACACCAACTTATGATCTCTAATTTGGATCATGGGATGCCCTCAAAAAACTAAACAAAAAAAAAGTTCATCCTGGGATGAAACACTTTTTTTTTTTAATCTTATGAACAACGAGATGAATATATCAACAATAAATATTTCTTTAAAAAAAAAAAATCTTTCTCATCTCAATTACAAGATGGGATTCGTCTTTAACCGCAAGATGAACCTATTTCTTACCACAAGATTACCCAATTGTTCCTTCTCTCACATCTGTTTGGTGGTGGACATACCTGGCAATTGGTAGCTGTGTGTGGGCATTTTGCATCTTTTATCCTTCTCTATCACAGACTTGCCATCAATCCAGGAAGCCAATCCAAGTTCCAAATACACCATATGGCTGAGTTGCAACAACTGGGTTTCAGAGAACCAATCTTCACACTCAGACGATTCCTCTCCTCCTTAGTTCCACGTTCTGCGAGCATCAAAACTACCAAGTTCTATGATTCAGCAATTCAACAGCTAGGACTTTTCTGCAACGTAAGATATTAAACTATACAAGTCATAAAAACCATCTAACAAAGCCTTAATCTTCGGTTTTTTTCTGGCCAAATAAGGAAAAGAATAGCTCTAGCCGCGCATAACTACAAAATCCTAGCTTTACCTCTCAACCACCAACCTGAAAGAACTTCAAGCAGCCACTCTTCTATAAATCTGCATCCAATATATATATTTTTTTGTTCTATTATAGGACTTGCAGTTATTAAAGAGTTTCCTTCTTAAGTTTACATTGTTATCATCACATGCTATGCTTCAGGTTAAATAATATGAATCAATATTATAGAATTCAAATCCCAGTAGAAAACACTCAGGAATAAGTGGCTTACTTTGATGTCACGTGCTGGTCCCAAGAAACTGCTCGTACAAGGAATGATATTTTGCAGGGATATAATCCTTGAAGCTGTTGAGATTCGCAACAAGGGGAAAAAAAAGGTGATGAATAAATGTGACAAAATACTGGAAAATATGCTATATCGGAAATGTAAAGTGAGGACTTGAAGAGCCTGCTAATATGGTATATCAAAAATATAACCCAATTAGAGATCCAGAGATTTGTTGAATGTCACGTCAGACACCAAGCCACTATATATCAGAAATAGAAAAGAGTTTCTAAAGTGCCAATAAGAATGAATATACTTCTAATGAGCTCCCAACTCAGCCAGAGAATTAGAGATCTGCTGAATATGTTTTATGCTTAATTGCTCATGTTATAGCATTTCCATGAATGCTTTTGTATTTTGTGCTAAAACACATAATATTAACAATTAAAAAGAAAAATGAAAAAGACTGATTGGTATCAGTAAATGTTCTTCCGAAGAAAAAAAAAGGTGATTGGTATCAGTAAAATGTTCTTAGGAGTCTAGGACATGTCACGCCACTTTAGCTGAAAACCAAATAGCAGTCGAAGTCTGCCATCTGTCTCCAGATATGAAACCAAATAAACCAGCCAAAATAATAATAATAATAAAATAAAAAATCATCCATAGTGATAGAAGAACATACCCTTTACGAAGATGTAGCCTATCCGGTCCTGAAAATATTCCTATAATGGACTGCAAAACTTGGCTTATTTTCATTGCTTTGGTTTTAAGTGCTTTCATAAACCCAACAAAGTCCTTGTATTCTCTGGCACTGAGTTTCTCTCTGACCTGCAAGACAACTTAGAAAATATAGATTATCATAATATAAAATAACTTTTACAGAGCAAAACATAATTACGGAAAGTTAAAAGAGTTCAATTATAAAATTTTAAGAAAATCCAAAATAAAAGGCCTGGTTCCTAGTGCAAGCTCTTGTCAAGAATCAGTTTCCCCAGAAGAAATGCTCTTCCAGGATAGCAAATGTTGACATATCGAGAAAGACTTAGAGAAATGCACAGGAAAATAAGTTCAGATTTCCTAACCTAGATATTTAGCATATTACATATAAGGGCGAAACAAGGGTTTCATCAGTAAGAAAAATAAAAAGTTGGCATTAAATGTTTTCAGGGCTATTAGAAAAGCAGCCCAACTGTTCCAACAAAGGATCCCTATATTAAATAGAGTCAAAATAATGACCTTCACGTTACTGTATTAAGTCTAAAGTTTACATTCGATATATGCTTGAGTAGCTAGATGTTAGATATCAAAATTAGCTACACGGATACAGTTAATTATTAGTTAAGTGCTAGTTTTTTTTTCTTTTTTTTTGATATCCGTGAGTGTTCAAACCAGCTTACATGATCCTCGACTAATCTCATGGGACAACCACCTGACCCTACAACATTTGGTGCTGAGAAACACAAAGAAATTACTAATTCCTCGGGTAGGTGGCCATCATGGCAGTTAAGTGCTAGTTATGATCACGTTAGTGAGTTATAACTTATAAGCTAAGAGTAAAATAAATAGAGAGAGTGATTAGCAAGGAGAGAACGGTGAGGATTAAGTTTGGGTCAACGGGTGGTTCTAGTGTCATGAATTACCATGGATTACATCCACATTACAAGATGCTATGCATCAAAGGCTGCAAATCCATACAATTTAATATTTCTATGTTTTTTATTCCTATCATAGATCATTCCGACTCTTAAGGAACAAAAATAAAGGTTCTGTTGTTACATTTTACCTGACTCAGAAAATCAGATCCTTTAGCTTCCTCATCACCAAGATGAGCAGGATTGCATTTGATTATCTTGTCATTCTGATTGACAGACTCTACACCCATCTTCTTCGTAGTATGACTACTACCGTGTACGTGTAGCAATGCTGGACCAACAGCATCATTTTGCATGCCTCTGCTATCAGATGGTGAAGCTTCAGACTTCACAGAACAAATTTTGAAGGAAATGTTACTTGGTTCAGATGGTTTAGCACCAGAAGGCCCAGTAGAAATCCTCATCGTTTCTGCAGGAGCATGCTCTGTGCTGAGTAATTTCCGCTTCTTTTCACCACACCCTACCAACAATTTTTTGTTTGCTTGTTCATTCATTACAGAAAAACCAGTTAAATCAATGACTTCATGATTCTGCAACTGAGAAGATTCCTTATCCGACAATACTAATTTTTTTCCTCGATGTGATAGATCACTTGAATTTTTTATTCTGGAAGATAGAGGGTTGAAAGAGGTAACAGATGGACTATTGGCAGGAAGAACATCTTTCCAGGAGCTAGAATGGCTGGCATCTTTGACTTTAATGTTAATCAGGGAAGACACAGACTTTCCCCAAGAATCTTGACACTTTGGCTTCTGCAGTGAAAATCACAATAAAAAGGCCAGAAAAATAGACATCGCCGATCACAGAAATGTCAACTAACACGGGAACAGAAAAGGGGGGAACCTTGCCTGAGAAACAAGTTTTTCCAGGTAAACCTCGCCAAATGATTTTGCAGTTTTACTTTCTCCCCTTTTTCCTGTAAACAGACATTTTTGGTTTGTAGCAAGAGCAAGATCTCTTTCGCAAACAACTCAAATAGCAAAATATAAGTGGAACTCATCTGTGAGACACAACGGCAGTTCTGAGTTTTACAAAAAATTGGCAAGCAAGTCAAATAGTCATTTTCAAAGCTTGAATACACAGTAAGGCTGACAATTTGATTTAAGAAGATATTTAACATGAGACCGCAAGAAAAATGATCCTGTGTACTTTATCCAATTAGATAATATTCGTTACCTCTCTTAGTTTGCATGTGAGCATGTGACTAAAGTGGAAGATCCTGAAGAAAAATGGAGATAAAAAAAATTACCAATTACTGAAGTGGAAGATCCTGCACAAGCGATATCATCCAACCTAGCGGTATCAACTCCTTCAAGTTTAAATTTTGCATTACAATCTGATATACAATGGAAAAAATGTATGAGGGGCGCAGAAATATTAAAGTGAATTGTATATATAAGGAAGCCAACAATGCTTACCCTAACTAAAAGCTTTTCAATGTTATAAACTGCATAATCAGTAATTTTTAAACTAGCAAACGTGCATCAAATCAAAATTTATAGCTAAGAAAAACTTTGCAAGAAGTCATCAATTATACTAGTTACCTCACAAGTCAAATAAATCCACAAATGTAGTGAAAATGATTGACACCATATTGCCGTCAACCATATTTCCACATAAAAGAAGTTTTGATGTGATCAATATAATATACTTTCAAGATTTGATACAAGTCAACCATAAGAAATAAAGGTTCAACAACTAGGACATCAACCATAAATTCCTTTAGTAGTCTTGCCTTCTGGTTTCGGACAAATCTGATTTACGTCATCTCGAAAAAATCGGGTCAATGTGTAAACTACATCACCAAATTTGGAGTAACACTGCATAAGGAGAAACAAGTTAGGTAGAAAGTTTCAAGAACAAATATATTTCTTAAAAGAAATTCCACCTTGATATGAGGCTGTATCCAAACCGATATTTGAGACTGACGACTTGAATGGGCAAACCTAAGCAAATTAATGTTTAATAATAAAATCAATAACTCTTTCGAATATTCCAAAGAAAAAAAAAAAGTTATCCAGGAAAAGGGTGAAATAGCATATGATTCGAAGGGGAAGTTAAAGAAATATTTAGACAGCAGGTAGATGCAAAGTGACGACAATATATAACAGAAAATGCCAAACATGTAGCGGATGAAATTTAGTATTCCAAATATTAGATTGAACTATATACTCCTAGAAATATCTAGAAAGAAAATGAAATCTCAGGCTCGTAAGCATTGACAATCCCGTGTGTTAATGATTCCCGTAGATAGAAACTGCCACCTAGCTATGAAACACTATAAAATTAAATGAAGCAGAGACCAACGGTTCAACCAATTAAAGCCATGGAAAAAGAAAAAGAAAAAAATAGTGGCTCCATATTTACAAAAAAAAAAATAGAAAAAACACCTCTCATCACAAAAAATTATGGCTCCGTAGTCATGGCGATGACGTATTACACGTCCAACAGCCTGATTGACAGCTCTTGATGCTTGTTGGTTGTACCAGTCCTCTCCCGTCATAACCTGCCGCATCAATAACCCATGAGTTACAGGATCACCACCCAAAAGAAGGAAAATCACTAGTTGCACTGAAATGCTTTACCCGACAATTCCCTCTTTGTGAAAAGGACTGATGATCTAAGAAGTCGCGCTTCAGGCGAACCTGTCGCACAGTACATCAAATCTGGAAGTTAACCACAAGAACAAAGCATACAAGATTTATGCAATATGAAACTTATTTATTAGTTTGGGAGCATTTCACATCGAGCTCAAAAGATTGGGACAAACAACCATGGATGAAAAGAACTGGATTGTTCTTAAAGATGGGAGGAACTATCTAATGGGAACTTGGCCTAATGAGATCCATTTGAGGCTTAGTTTCGAACATAACGACAATTAAATGTTTGGAAATCAGTAGTCGAGTCAATCTAGAGCAATCTGAAAAAAAAAAAAAAAAAAAACTACCTGCCCCCTGCCCTGACATAATTGATGACAGGTAGGTTAGCCATGACCTAGCTTATTGTATAATCTAGTAGTGACTGAAAACTTCAGTCCAGTAGACAAAAGTACATATGCTTCAATAACTACAAAAGCATTTTGAAGCAGATGCATATACTTTTTTTGGGAACGGAAGCTTATACATACATTTACATGCAGTTCCTGAATTCGCAACTTCAAGACAGACAGGAAATTAATAGAAAACTTACTGATGCAGCATTAAGAATCTAATTAATGAATTATACATTTCTTCTTAAACATAATGAATAATATTAGACCATTAAATACATTACGTCGTTGGTCTGTACTCTATTCAAAGTTCAGCAAGGACCTAGCTTTCGGTTCTAAATAACTACACCGACTTACATATCTCATTGACTATGAGGTAGGAAGTAAGTAAACAAACCTTTGGATCATTCCTTGAAGCAAAAGGCATGCCAGTAATGATAACAGCTCTTCCAGCATGATCAGCAAAATCTAATCCTTCACTCACCTGTGGAGGTGATTCAATCATCCATGATATTCATGACTTCAATGTGATGATGATTGTAGAATTTAATAAAAAAGTCTACAAAATATATAACAAAATTGCAGCATTATTATTTAACGCCATTTATTTAAACTAACAAGCTGCATGAACTATCTATGAAGTGAGCTATGTATCTTACCCATCACGAATAATTTTGAAGCAACGCACAATATATTGAGCTACCACAACCTCAACTTCTTTATAAAGGAGGACTAGCAAATCCTACATTTCTTTTTCTTTTTTTTTCCTACATTTCTGAACAAGGCAATAATCTCTGATCCATCTAGAGTAGTCAATTCAAAAGTGCCCATATAGAGAAGTACATAAAAAGCTGTTAAAATAAAGCATCCCATTAATGAGCCCATCTAGGCGGTTAATACTTATCGTTATTTTTACAATTGACACAAAAGAGGCCAGGTTTGCATGTGAACTTCTTTCTTACACTCCCCATATTGTTTAAGCTCTTAGAGATAAAGGCCCACAAGAAGAATTTAATATTTTTAGAGAATTTTCTCTTCCAAATGCACTTGGCTCTATCAATTATACAAAACCCAAGACTAGCCGATTCCTGTTCTCCTGCTCTTTGAACAGTTTTCTACTACGTAAATCCCAATTGGCTTGGTCCCCATTCCAACCCATCAGAATTGACAAAAACATATAACTCGAAAACTTGCCTGCATGACACTACTTATTTCTTTTCAAACCAGGAAAACTATTTTATTAAAAATAATGAAAAGTACAACCAAAAAGTGGCTGGACAAAAAACACGTCAAACACAAGCAAAGGAGTCACCTAAATTAAACTACAAAAAATGGTTGCAATTACTGATTAAACAAAGGAAAATCACAAGGATTCATATGCACCTAGAGAAGCTCAGAAGCATTAAGTGTGCCACATCCTAAACCTGTTCCGAAGACCCCTTAATACCTGAAAAATTCTTATTGTTCTTTCTTAACCAAATAAATATAGTAATACTGACAAGAAAATTTTCACGATCCTGCGGGGTTGGGTTGGGGAGAGGGATGCAATCCCATCCTCATCCCAATTCCTGTTGGGCCTTTTTTTGTCATCCCTAAATGGGTATCTCCACAACCATTTGGTATGAAAGACTCTATTTTTACTACTAATGCTGACCGCTCCCAACCTCCAAAGAATGAGGAAGATTTTACCAATTGTCACCAAAGAAATAGCATGTTGAGGCATCGCACTGGCATATTACTTTAATAAGAAGACATACCTTACCCCGACAAACAGCAAAAAATACTGCACCAGAGGATGATTTATCTTTCAGTTTGAACATGTAGTCCTGTCAGAAAGCCAATTAGCCACAGCATGACACTGATATGAAATATCACACAACTGAAGCTGTCTTTTTTTTCTTTTTTAACATTTCCAATAAGTTACGTACCTCAATTGACGAAGGAAACAATGAAGATTGTCGAGGTTCTATAACAGGCTTCTTATGCTTGCAGATTCTTGCCCAAATTGTAGTTGTACTGGAAAGACTCTGCAGAAATATAAACAAACGAAAAGATTGTATTCAAAATCAAAAAAAGCCCAGAGGCAGTAGAACAGCCTAGTGGCAGAGGGTTGAGGAAAGATTTTTCATTAAAAGAAAACAAGCAAATTTATAACTAGTTTATTCTGCATGTTACCTGATTCTTCCAGCAACTAATGCATTGGTCTAGAAAGTAGTAAGATGGAAAGAAGACAAGCAAACCATCAGGAACAATTCGTGCAAAGTTGACTGTGACCAAGAATCCAAGAAATACATCAGCACATTCTCAAGGGACTAAATCAACTACCACACTATCAAAAAAAAAATCACCAACAAGCAGGGGAATTTATCGAAGAACAAAGTTGAGAAGTAAATTGGCTTTATGATAAATTTTAACTGTGTAAACTTATTCAAATTTGGGTTGTGTTAAAAAAGAATTAAAACTTAATGAGTTGAATTGGTTTATGAGTTCACCTAAAATTAATTTAGTTTTAACCGAACTTGACTCGAATATATTAGTTGTCTTGGCATGATAAATTTTAGCATGTTATCTGCAAAAATAGTTATAAAAGTCTAAATTATAGACTTTGGCGAGCTTTCTTGTAATCAGTGTTCAGCTTCTGTTCTTGGGTTTCAATTCTTATATTTTTATGGGTTTTTGTTTTCTATGTACTGTTTGTTTTTTTCTTTTTCCTTTTTCGCTTCTTTTGGGAGCTTGTATCCTTGAACTTTTTTCTTCCTTTTCATATTATCAATGAAAAGTTTGTTTCTTGTTAAAAAAAAAAGTCTATATTAGATAACAATCCTTTCGTTGAGGCATTTATGCAGGGCATTCTCTATCTCTCTCTCTGCCTCCCTCTCTAGCTAGCATGGAGATGAAATGAATGGTTGAAGGTGGAGTTTGTTATTGACCACTAGGTGTACTTGTATAGAGAACTCTAGCGTAGACTTCCATGGTGATTTTTTGAGATAGAAGTTCCGTAATGAGGAGGCAGAAAAATAAATAGTGCATCCTCTTCAAGTTAAAACTAAATTCTAGAAATGGCTAGAGGTTTCATTAGTTATGGAAGATCAAAAGGAATCAGTAGTCCTTTAATAAACTCATGGAGGAAAGTTGAACATGCTAAATTCAAAAACCATCAAACAATATGAAAAGTTTCATGGAGCTATTTTGCATGGTGAACAACGGATAAAAGTTATCTTTCATCATATACCAAGCAAAAGGGAGCTGGGATGGAGATTATTCATGGATGACATTTCACACTTAACAAAACACACTAGATATTAAGGGAAGAATGGATGATCAACTGGCATTTGAACAAGTGGCTAGGAGCTCAACAAGTGGAAAGAAGAAAAGTGAAACAATGGTGACTCCGACATGAAAAATGAGCATGAGGGTGAGAAAGATATAAATTGTAATGGAGAGTTCAGTGAAGTTTTGGGGGTAAAAACAATATTTATAAATTGAGTTTCCATGGTATGCAAATAGAGAGGAAGCAAGAATGCTGTGCGGAAATAGGGGGTGGAGTATGTGATAAGATTTCACAGTCAAATTAGACCTCGGAATGAAAATCTCCAAGGGAGATTTGCAGTCACATTCAATGTGCAAACAAGACAATAAATATGACAATGACACATTGTTTAGAGGTTAATTTTATGGTGGGATAAAACTATCATAGATTCTTTCCTGCTCGAGTAGAGGTGCGGGATGAGAAGGATTCAAAGGCAGTTGTCTAACTGGCAGTTCCAGTAAAATCAAAACTGATGATCAGTAGCCATGCCTATTCTACTTAAAGTTTGTAAATCCAAGAGTAGAATTCTTTTTGAAAATGCTTAGTTGGAGCTAGATGAGGTTTAACAACATGTTCGATGTAATATGTCCCTTCTGGGTTTAATCTGAAGAATTTTGTAATGTTTTATAGCACGGAGTGTATGAGGAAGAAGTTTGATTGGATTTGATTTTGCAGACTGGAGTTGACAACTTCCTGCCCCAAGCCTTTTTTTGGGGTCATCCTTTAAAAGGATCGCTAAAATCATGTGGATTAGTTCTACCTTTGCAATTTCTAGGGAGAAGGGCGTTTTTCATGTTCTCTAGTTGTTATTGGAAGAGTACGGCCGTAATCTTTCTGTTAAATAGGATTTCCTCTGAGTCTTCTCTCAAAGGCCATTAATAACACTTATCTGATTTTACCGAGAGTTGGTCTGCAACCTATCTGGTTTTGGGCTTTTTCCTTTTTTAATTCCATTCGTGTTCCTTTGTATATGCATGGGGTTGGAAGAATTATCTTTCACATCAATTCTAAATAGCAAACTTACACATACCAATAGCATTTCCCAGGTCTAGCTTATATGCTTCAGACTCACGATTCCAGTAAGAAGAGTTGAAAGCGCAACCTGATGGACCAACAGGTACAACTCCAGCCCATATCTGATTTGAAGATATGACATGTGGGTTTTCCAACCGAATAGGAAAATCTCTGGGTTTACCATAAAAACACCCTGAATTAACATTTATAATAGTTGCGGATGATCGAAGTGTGCAAGAAAGAATTAAATATGTTAGAATCCATATAAATGAATTAAATTTACCCAACCCATCAGCTTAAGCTTTTGGGTTGAGTGGTGGTTTGTTCATCCTTAAGAAAATAAAAGTGACCAACAGTTTCAATTCCTGTGCAAATGACTCCAATGGGGATAAAGTGCCAGATGTCAAAATAATAGAGCCGACTTCCATTTTGGGAAATGTTTCCATGGCAATGCCCGGGTTAAAACACCACCAGCTGAGTGTTCTGGATGCTTTACCTGAAAAAGAACGCTTATAAAGTGGTACACATGCCTAAACTTGAAATTCCAATAAATGGAGAAATCATTTTCAGTTGCAATCATTTCTTATTATATCATATTTCAAACAATAAGATAATCAAGAATTGAAAATTTTAAAAGCGATAAACTAGAATATATCATTGGTGAATATGTGGATGCATTGGAGAGTAGATAGAAACTAAAAAAACTGATTCTGTATCATATAAATTGTGATTATGAACTGAGTTAATAAAATGTATAGAATGAGTAAAAGAGTCCTTTTTGTCTAAGCCATTGAACATCATCAAAAAAAATACCGTGTAAGATAAGAAAATAAGATGGACTTTTCTACTTTTTCACACTGAATAATACAGGATAAAGCAAAAAAGAGGTTAGCTCGTTAGCAGCCTTATATAAAGATAGGAGTGCCCAAGAAAATTCCAATGTTTATCTCTTCTTTAATTGATTGCATGGGATCCAAGATAATTTTATTCTTGCCCACTTTGCACGGCCATACTACACTTTATCAGGCATCAGTTAACTAATTCACTTAACCTACTCTATTAATAGGTCAACGATATAATATTGTTCTAGCAAACATAAGCCTCAGACTTTCAACCATCTTCTGAAAATCAATTAAATAACTAATTTACTTCACCTAATCTATTAATAGGTCAACGATATAATATTGTTCTATAAAACATAAGCCTCAGACTTTCAACCATCTTCTGAAAATCAATTAAAGAACAGATCAATTATCCACCATAGCCTGACAAACAGCAGGCCTACCCTGTATGAGTTAATTGCTCAGACACTTCATGTGCCAAAAATATACAAAATTGACCGCCTAACCCGGACATAAAGAAATTATTGGAACATTCTCATGTTTTCTTTTTCTTGTCTAATCATGGTCAATATAAATATAGTACAGAAAGACAAGTCTTATTAATATCTTAACAATATTACTGAGAGTGAAAGTTAAGTTAGTTAAAGAAAGAGGGAAAAGATTAAGTTATAAATGATGATAATACAGTTAACAATTTGCTGAAAAGAATAACAAATATAAGATGAAATTACCCTCCACATATCAGATATATAGCTTAGAAGTACCTTTTAGGCCATCCATAGCACTTGCTTCATTCTCCTGCACATGAACCTAAAGGAAATATTCAAACTAAGATGCAATCCAAAAAGTGTGGCATAAATAAGAGCTAATCAGAAGAGAGCTCGATTGGCAAATTTAGCAATAAAGTTCTCCACAGTCTTGGCCACTGTAAACTATATTAGCATTCTCTAACTTACTTGATAGAACTTCGCATGTTCATTGCCCTTCTCTTTAAAAATAATATCAAGAATATCTGTAATGCTTTCCAGCCGACAGCCTGTGTTCTGCATCTTTTGTTGCTTGTCTTCTTCAAGAAGCGTAGCTGCTTCCTCGATTATGCGTTTAAGATCAGAGACAGAGCCATGAGTGATATTGAGTTCCCCGAGTAGTTCATAGATGTAAGGTCCAGGCTTAGTAAATCCTAATTCCTTGGACTGGATAGGGACTTCAGATATTCGCTTCTCAAGCTTAAGGAGAAGTGCTGCATGATTTTTTAATAAGCTAGTTTTAAAAAATCAGTGGGGAAAGCAATGTGATCTATGCAAGAGTATTTGACCAATAATTATATTATATTAGAAATTCAGTTCAAATGCATGATTGCACATGCCACATTAAACAACCTGGGTTGATGTCACAACAATCATCAACCTGAAAAAGGTTCCAGTATAGCAAGATAGCTTAAAAGGCTAACTAATGAGATTAGTCAACAAAAATAATATTAACACCTTAGTTATACAAATTGAAGGTTATTTACTAATAGAACTTACCTCTAAGGATGGCAAAATTATCCGGATTTCTTGATTTGTCATTTGAGTCTTCCCTTCTCTTTATGGAAAGATCAATACAGTTTTTTGCTTCAGAAATACAAGCTGTCAGAAGCCAAGAAGACAAATCAAAAGAGGCTGCATCTGCACATATGCTTTCCTGCAAAACAATTTACGCTACGTAAGTGGCTAATCCTATGTGATACATGGTACAAACACACTGATGTGTAATGTCAATAAGCCTTGGACATAGTATATGAAAAGAGTACAGAGAAAGCATATAGGTAGCCTTGACATTCTGAAGTTAGAAGCTGCTTACCAAGTTGTGAGCTTCATCAAATATGAGTATACTGTTTTTCCAGTCAAGGGCAAGGGATTTTCTATATCCATGATCAATGAGATAGTTATACGGAGCAAACAATATATCAACAGCCTTGTGAAGCTCCCGTGATACATAATAAGGACATCTAAAAGAAAAGAAAAGAAAAATAGCAGATTAAGCAAACCATTAGCAATTTCACCCAACCAACTCCGGTATAACCTAAAAGATTGTTGTGAAAGCAAAAACATAGATGGAAAAGAACCTACGGCCCAAAACTCTTTCCAATATTGACCAGATCTTCAATGTCAATAGGTTCATCTCCAAGATGTGGATTATTCTTCATATAGCCTACAATAGACAATTAAAATATACAGGTATTAGATTTCTTACAATTGTTAAAATTATTGTTGATAGCAAATATCAACTGATCATAAGAGACATACAAGAAACTTGGAAAGTAATATTTCAAATATCCTTGGCGTCATCACTATAATTTTTAACAAAATAACTAAGAACCCCAAAGCTAAAAGTTCTGTTATATTTTTTAATACCCTTTTGGCTTAAATTCCAAAAACAATTGCCCATCTTCATCTCTTACTTCAACATTTGGATGATGAAGGGGATATTTTCAGAATCTTTACAATTCTAGCCGCACAACATTTTACCAAAAAGCAGCATATAGCATGTAACGGCCATTGAATTTTTTACCACAACATCTAGATTTTGACTTGGAATATTTGGGAAGACCAATATCAAATATGATGACTTGCATTTGATAAGTGATATCCTATTTTCGTCATTTTATTTCCTCAACCAGGATCAAGTAGTTCAATCAGCTTTCATCCTAAATACCTACATACTAGTTCTCCGCATGCTATAAAAGTTAAATACCATGACAATGCCATGAGTGAAAAAGTACAAAGTAAGAAATGCAGATGCAATTGATCTAAAGAGAATAACCAGAAACATGAGTATAATGGTTGCAATGACGTTTTCCACGTTTCCGGCAGAGTGACCGGCAGGCGTTGTTTTGTGTTCTACCACGGAGTAAACTCACTTCATCGTGAATGCATAATTGCTCTCGAGATCCTAAAACTACCATCTTGGGCCTGCATGTTTTCAAATTTAAATAGATTCAATTATCAGTCACCAATTCACGAAATAAAAAGTAGTAATTTAAAAGAAAGAGGGGGGAAATAAAAGGAAAATCAAACTACACATAAAATGATTGTTTAAAAATTAATTTTCCACCAATATAGTTCAGCTTGCCTCAATGAAGGCTCGTTAGTAAACTAATATTAACAGAAGAACATGTAAATCTCGCTAAAACCAAAAACTACACCATATAATGTTAATCCATAATAAACAGGACAAATCCTCCAACTTCATCTTCTTGCTTCACAAGTATGAATCCCAACCAATAGGCTATATTGAGGAATTGATCACTATAAATAGTGCTAGGTGAGTAATCAGCAGTAGCGCATGGTCAACTTCCTATAAAAATTACCCTATATGGACCTGTGCACTATGCTTGTATGTGGTTCAGACAAGAAAATGTCATGGAAAAATTAAGTTCAATTATCCTTCAACGGGAATAAGAAATAAATCAAGCTTCCTTAATATGGGAATGAACATCAACCTGTACGAGGTTTTCTTCAACTCTTGAATAACTTGCCGTAGTTGGCTGTGAGTGCGGGTTGTATACACAATGGTTAGAGGCTTTGTCGAAGTAGACTGTGATGTTGAAACATTCACATTGCCCTCATCATTTTGGCTGTTCCATGCACTCCGACCAGATGAGAAATCACCTAAACTCTTCCTCCAGGCCAGTGTAGCACATAGAAGGCAAAGTGTTTTCCCAGTTCCAGTTGGACTCTCTAAAAGTGCATTACAGTTCTGTCACATGATAGTTAGGTCAGGGAATTATTAAAACTCCTTTTTATATAGAATGATCTGTAAAAACTAAAATGTCACACAGGAGCCAATAAACAACTGAGCACTTGTAATTAGACATAGCATAGCAGCAATAAATTTGATGTTATATAAGTTTCAGGACTAATTTGAACATAAAATACTCATGCAATCCTTAAAACAAAAAATATTAGGTGCTAGAAGTTCACACGATATAATCCACAGCACCAGATTTCTAACAAAAAATAAACAAATAATCCCACTCATGTGTTAACACAAAATGATATCAGAACAGTTCAATGTAGCTGACTGTGAAGTAGAGGCAGGTAGCACAATACATGCCCTCTGACTTCCAGACACGTGTTGCAGCTCCGTGAAGGAAAATGACATGGAAATCTTCAAGCTTTGTCCACCGGCAGGTTACATAGTGGTAATTTGTAAAACTTGCCAAGCTTCTCTACTTGCCAGCTATGAAATGAGATGACTGATTTCCATCAATAACTCAATGCAAACAACAGATTAATTCAAGAAAGCAACAGACTCAAAAACTACCAAGTCCAAAATGCAGAAGCCGAAGAAAATATGGAGGATGGATGACTGAACAGGTTATAAAAGATCTGCAAGATAATTGGAATTCCATTGGGTTTTTAGGTCTACTTAGAGTGCTTTCTCTAAACTTCTGTGTAACTACAGTACCTACTTTGATTGTGTAAATTGGGATAATCCTTCATTGGCTCCTTTAGAACTGGAGCGGAATGATGTCCTATGTCCTCGTTTTTCATATATCAGTGGAAATATTGTGTTACTCGTTAAAAAGCACCAGGCAGGTTGAATTGGTCAATGAAGATCAATGCAGTCTTGCATTACAAAATTTTCCAATGCCATCATTTTCTCATATACTAGACACCAACTATAATACAGTAGATGGCAAAAAAAATACCGAAATGCTCATACGGGAGGAACGGTCAATTTATAAATATCAGTAGCCGCAAGTTTCATTAGTAATTTAATCATCTACTGGTAGTTCGCCATTACTGGAGCCAAGAAGTGATCAAGAAACACTTCATATACATTCTTTGCAGGGGAAATTAATGAAACTATAAGATGGCGCTATGTGAAATCTTACTTCCTGGAGAGATTGGATGACTTTTTCCATGTAAACGAGCTGGCAATCGTAGGCATCAAACGGGAAGTCGACATCGATACCTCGGATTTTGTATCTCGGCATTCTTTCTTTTTTTCTCTAAAGATTCGAGAGAAGTGTCAGCAATATTTGCCGAGAAACTTTGTTGTTGATCTTCTTCACTAAAATTATATGACCTAGAATAATTTGTTCGTCGACTCCTGCAACTCTTTCCCGCCAAAGTGGCCTTTGTGAATGGTCGAACACTGGAGGGACCATATGCACTAATATTGACTTGGTAATTCAATAATATGACATTTGTACAAATTATTTTATTATTGGGCTAAAATAATATTTTTGTTTCTATATTTTTCTATTTTTGTGTATCTGATTTGTACTTTAAAATTTTGGTTTTTGTCCCTCCATTTAGTTGTTTTCACTTTTCACAATTTCAACACGACGCACACTTGATATATTTATTAAAATATAATCATAATTTTATATTAAAAATTTTATGTTGTATGTAAAATTTGTAATATTGACTATAATTGTAAATTTTTTAAGTACGGGGACAAAAAAAACATTCAGCAAGGGTAAATCCCTCAGATTTGTCATATGTTTTGGCCTCTATTGACGCTTACAAAGCATAGACTTGATAGTCGGCGAGAAGGTGTATGGTCTTCAACATCACATATTGTTTATCAAAGGACGATAGAAGGCGACACAGCCAACTGCCTAGCAACGTTATCTGAGTCTGAATAGGTTATGTTTACTTGAAAATGGACAATTTTAATGTAACAATGAAACAAACAATAGGGTAAAATCATCCTCCAAAGTATGCATTTTTTAACTGAAATAAAATTTTAAGTACTAGTATATTTATTAAAATATAGTCACAATTTTATATTAAAAAATTTATGTTGTAGGTAGAATTTGTGTTGAAAATTTGTAATATTGATTATAATTGTAAATTTTTTAAGTATGGGGATCAAAAACAAAACGTTCACGAACATAGGCCTCTATTGACACTTACACATCATAGGCTTGTGTGGATAGGGTGTATGGTTTTCAACGCCACATATTTATCATGAGTGGATGATAGGAGGCGGCACCGCCAACTGCCTAGCAACATCATATGAGTGCGAGCAGGTTGTGGTACTTGAAAATGGACCATTTTAATGTAACAACCTCATGAAACAAACAATAGGGTAAGAACATCATCCAAAGTATAACCTCGTTAAACTGAAATAAAGTTTAAAGTACATTGAACCATTTTGATATTTTGAATGGAGATAGACAAAAATGAATCAAATATAAAGTATGACAAAAATAATTCTAACCTTATTTTTAAATCGAACTATAATATAGTTTGTTAATGTACACAAATAATATTGGTATGAAATTACTCTAGAGGGAATAAATGTCAATATCACCCAACTCAACCTCAATAGTTGGACACAAGTGTAATAATGAATAAAATAAGCACGAGTGTTATCTAGGCAAGACATTTCCATCCTTGTCCTTGTCCCCTCTAATTTTTTCCTACAAAATACCCTACAAATTTTGGTAGTCGATTCTATGCACAAAATGCATTTATTTATTTTTATAAATTAAAGTAACCTTTTGGTTGTAAAATTTAATTTGATTGGTAGAGTTTTTAGGAATAATTCGTCTGAAACAACGTTTGTTAAATTTCGTACGAACTTATCACAACTAAAAAAAAATTAAATTTAAAAAATAAATAAATACAGCACATATCATAAAACAACAAACACACAAACAATATATGTTAAACTGAATAAACATAATATAATAAACAAATCATCAATAATTCAAAAGCTCGTTCAAAACACGATTCTCAATCAAATTGAGACGAGGATGAATAGAGGAAGTGACATAGAGTCAAAGTGGAAAATAAGTAAGTAGGATGGACTATCATTAAGATATTTATATTTAAAAGGAAAAAAAGAACGAAACGGACCAGATCGATCCGTTGGAGATAGGATCTCGTTTGTGTGACAGGATAAAATATCGCATATCCGGTCCAAAGGGAGCTTAAATTCTTTAATTGATTGTGATTCAAATTTAAAAGAAAACATCAAATGTAGTAGCTAAAAAAATACCAGATTTGATTTTTTTTTCGAATTATAAAAAATCTACAATATTTTGCAACAATTCATGTAAATATATATATTTTTTAATAATTGATATTTCTATTTAAATTAGAAATAAAATCCAATAAAACAATGGCGGGCCAGTCCAGACAACCGAGGCCCAGCCCAGCCTAACCTACAACAAACGAGGAATTTGAAAAGCACAGTGTATAGATCTTTCTAGAACTTCAGTATCTATCTAGACGACTCTAGGACTACGACCACTCCAATTCCAAAGGCTGCCCCTCAAACAATAAATAAAAAAAAATTATATATTTTTTTAGAAGAAAATTCAAACAATAAATCAAAAGCAGAGAAATAGAATATAAATTAAAATAAAAAATAAACTTTAAAAATTACACAGAAAGCCCTTGAGAGTGGTACGTAGCCCTTTTATAAGCTTCCCCCAGCACCTCGCGACTTGTGTTGTTCGTGTACAAGCGCGGTCTTGGAGACTTCCAGAACCCAAGAATTCAATCTCTCTATCCCTCTCGCTCCTGCTGTTCCGATCGCTCTGAAAGGTTTGTTTTCGAAAGCTGATATCATTTCTGATTCAGATTTTGTTGTTTTCTCCACTTGTAGATCTGAGACTTCCGCTTCGCCGATTCGGACATTTTGAAGTGTTGTTTGCGTTTTGTTGGGTTTATTTTGTTAGATTCGAAGTATTTTTGTTTTACATTCGTATGAATTGTGCTCCTAACACCGTTTTCTGGAAATGAATCTGCTGGTTCATTTTTTTTTTGTGGCGTTTTTTAGCTTTAATTACTGGTTGAAGTATTTCGACCTAGTTTGATATATAACTTTTTGTTAATGTTTTCATGTATTTAATGTGTTTTGTAGTTTTCCTTGTTTGATCTGTTTTTCCTAATGTTATGATATGATAATTAATTTTTGTGGAGAGTGTTATTATATGTGTCTAGATACGTATGGACTAAAGTTAGACAAGGTAAAAAGAATGGGTTGCTCTAGTTGGATTGTGGTGTTTCTCGTTACTTTTCTCTGTTTGAATTTTATATAGACGAATTTATCCAGGTTAGCGTACTGATTTACTATTACTATTGTTTCCGCAAACAAGGTAATTAATGATGGTTTAAATATAAACTATTATACTCGTGACAATAATCACTGGTATCCCTCTTCCTGTTCATACTTTGCAAATTTGTTGATTGAATCGTAAATGTAGATGATAATAACATTCATTCCAATTTCCAGGTTCTTCTATTTTTTGACAGACCGATTGTTTTTGACATATCGGTTCAACCTATTGCAAGATGAGCGTAGTTGGTTTTGATTTTGGTAATGAGAGTTGCATTGTAGCTGTTGCAAGGCAGCGGGGTATTGATGTTGTTCTCAACGATGAATCCAAGCGGGAAACTCCAGCTATTGTTAGCTTTGGTGACAAGCAGCGTTTTATTGGGACAGCTGGGGCAGCATCAATTATGATGAACATCAAGAATTCAGTCTCTCAGATGAAGAGGTTGATTGGCCGAAAATTCTCTGACCCTGGATTGCAAAAGGATCTCCATTCGTTGCCATTTTCAGTAACTGAGGGGCCCGATGGGTTTCCTTTAGTTCATGTGCGTTACCTGGGAGAAGTAAAAACATTTACACCTACCCAGGTGTTGGGGATGTTATTTTCGAATCTGAAAGGCATTGCTGAGAGCAATCTCAATGCAGCAGTGGTTGATTGCTGCATTGGAATCCCAGTTTATTTCACCGATCTTCAGAGAAGGGCTGTATTGGATGCAGCTACAATTGCAGGGCTGCATCCACTTCGCTTAATACATGAAACTACTGCTACAGCCTTGGCTTATGGTATTTATAAAACTGATTTGCCTGAAAGTGACCAGTTGAATGTGGCATTTGTTGATATTGGACATGCAAGCATGCAAGTGTGCATTGCAGGCTTTAAGAAGGGGCAGTTGAAAGTGTTGGCCCATTCATTTGATCAGTCTCTTGGTGGCAGAGACTTTGATGAGGTATTATTTCATCACTTTGCAGAAAAGTTCAAGGATGAGTACAAAATTGATGTTCTTCAGAATGCAAGGGCTTGTCTAAGGCTTCGGATTGCTTGTGAGAAGCTTAAGAAAGTCCTTAGTGCGAACCCTGTGGCACCTTTAAACATAGAATGTTTGATGGATGAGAAGGATGTGAGGGGAATGATTAAGCGGGAGGAATTTGAACAAATAAGTATTCCAATTTTAGAACGTGTGAAAGGACCTTTGGAGCAAGCTCTTGCAGAAGCTGGTCTTACCGTTGATAATGTCCACATTGTTGAAGTCGTTGGTTCAGGTTCTCGTGTCCCTGCTATAATCAAAATATTGACTGAGTTCTTCAAAAAGGAGCCTAGGCGTACTATGAATGCAAGCGAATGTGTTGCTAGAGGTTGTGCCCTTCAGTGTGCGATCCTAAGTCCCACATTCAAAGTGCGAGAATTTCAGGTAAGAGCACCCAATTGAATGAAGACAATCGAACTTTTCCATTAGAACTCTCGTCTGACTATCATGGTCTTACATTTGAGTACAAGGGGTTAATTATTTTTGTGTTCACTTGTGTGTTGTTCAGACATCTATAAGAATTCTTTTTATGAACTTTTATGCAAGAAGTACAAAGATGTACTGAGGATTATAATTTGGTAGCTGCTGCTTTTTGAGTCTATTATTTCTGCAATTCTGCTAAACTGTTAAGATGCATCTTGTGTCAAGTGAGTGGAAAATAGTGTATTGTGGCAGCGTTTTGCATTCCCCCTCTGATTCTTAGGTCTGCTCTTTTGAAGGTAAATGAGAACTTTCCATTTTCCTTAGCGCTCTCGTGGAAAGGTGCTGCTTCAGATACTCAAAATGGAGCAGTGGACAATCAGCAGATCACTGTTGTTTTCCCCAAGGGGAATCCCATACCCAGTGTCAAGGCTCTTACATTTTATAGGTCAGGCACATTTAGCGTCGATGTACATTATACCGATTCTGACCAGCAAGCAAAAATCAGCACATACACGGTAAGTGTTTACCCTGAAAATTGAGTAGCTTGAGCACTTGCACTCTTGTAGTCATTGATTAAGTCGTTGATTATGTGCATATCCAGATTGGTCCTTTCCAATCTTCAAAAGGTGGAAGGGCAAAAGTGAAGGTGAAGGTTCGACTTAATTTGCACGGAATTGTTTCTGTTGAATCAGCAACAGTAAGTCATCTTCAAATCTCTATTCCTTAATTTGTTATCTATGTTTATCTTTAAACTTCGCTGAAGGGGGAATCTGTGTATGTTTAGCTGTTAGAAGAGGAGGAAGTAGAGGTTCCAGTCACCAAAGAACAGTCACCTAAAATGGATACTGATGAAGCACCTGCTGATGCTGGTGCCGCTCCCAGTTCTAATGAGAACGATGTTAACATGCAAGATGCCAAGGGAACCACAGATACCGGAGGTGAAAACGGCAGTGCAGAGTCAGGAGACCAAGCTGTGCAGATGGAGACAGATGCCAAGGTATGTACGGGGGAGTCCTATCTCCACAGCTCAACTCTATCTCTTAGTCAATATCAAAATCGATCATACATAGTAACAGATATGCTGTCTGTTTTCGTGAACTTAGTGTAGTAACAAGTTGGATAAGTGTTATGACACACAAATCTCTGCTTTCCTCTCTTAGTTTGATTTTCCTAATTAACTCTTCGTAACTGTCTTCCTTTTCTCTTTATTTACCCTTTTTGCTCTCATTCTGTTTCCTCCATTATGGTTTTAAAACATTTTTCTTTTCCAGTTTCTCTTAACATGTATATTGCCTTTGCTACACATATAAGTAGCCTATAAATGGAAATATAATTTTGTCAATTTGATGAGTAATTTAATTGGATCTTTTTTATTTTCTTCCCCTTTCGTTAAAATTAGAGGAAATGATAAATCCATCGAGGTTTAAATTTTTTAGCGTGTTGAACTATAAATTGAAGGTATTGTAATTTGGCACATATCAATTCCAAGAGGATTGATTTAATCCAATTTGCACAGTAAAATAATACTACTAATTTTTCAAATTTTTATTACTAGAAGTAAAAATTCACGGAAGCACGATTTTTTGAATAAAACATTTACATAAATTTTATATCATGAAAATTGGTTTGAAGTAACTAGATAGTCTCAGAGTCCCAACTTTAGTTGAATACCTTCACATATTGTTCCACTTGCAATTTCAGTATTACATGAAAGCATTTTGAGGGATGGAGGTTCTTGTACTTATGGCTGAGCTTTTTTGGCATTCAGGTTGAAGCACCGAAGAAGAAGGTAAAGAAAACCAACATCCCCGTGGTCGAATTGGTTTATGGTGGACTGGCATCAGCTGATGTTCAAAAGGCAGTGGAAAAGGAGTTTGAAATGGCTTTACAGGATCGGGTGATGGAGGAAACCAAAGAGAAGAAAAATGCTGTTGAGGCATATGTCTATGAAATGAGAAACAAGGCAAACTACTTCTATCCTTCTTTATTATAATTTTCCCTGAATGTTGAGTTTCAATGTAACTGATGAATGTCTTTGTGTTTCCAGTTGCATGATAAATACCAGGACTTCGTCACTGATTCACAGAGAGAGGAGCTTTCTGCTAAACTTCAGGAGGTTGAGGATTGGCTGTATGAAGATGGTGAGGATGAGACAAAGGGAGTCTACATAGCGAAGCTTGAGGAGTTGAAGAAAGTAAGTAAAATGTTGTTTCTAGTTTTCAACCTCCCCCACAAGAAAGAAAACAAGATTTTATTGGTTACAAGAAATGCCGTCCTTTATTTTGTGTGGTTTTTGGCTGCACTCTGATGTTGAACATAAAATTGCAGCAAGGTGACCCAATAGAGGAGCGTTACAAAGAGTTCACGGAGAGAGGAACTGTGATCGATCAACTTGTTTACTGCATCAATAGTTATAGAGAAGCGGCAGTGTCAGCTGATCCTAAATTCGACCACATCGACATGTCTGAGAAACAGAAGGTACTCCCTTGCTCCAGTCCTCTTGTGCAATTTTATGCATGAGTAACTATGTAACATATCCTTTAATCAAATATTTTCTGCAGGTCTTGAATGAGTGTGTGGAAGCAGAGGCCTGGTTAAGAGAGAAAAAGCAGCACCAAGACTCGCTTCCAAAGCATGCTACGCCAGTCCTCTTTTCTGCTGATGTGAGAAAGAAAGCTGAAACACTTGACAGGTTAGTGATCCTTTTCTTGTACTGATGGAAATGTTTTGAAGTAGAGTGCCTTTCTAATTTCCAGCCTATGGAAATGATGTTGTTGCCTGTCATTTTTCAATTAAAAACCGTGGTCATTAAGGCAAGTAAAAAAGTAGGGTGGCGTAGAGTGCTCCAAATCATGAAAAATCTTCATGTGCTACGGGTTCTCTCATACTGGAATTTGCATTTGTTGCCATCCCTGCAGGTTTTGTAGACCAATAATGACGAAACCTAAGCCAGCTGCTCCTGAGACACCTCCTCCGGCTCCTCAGGGCAGTGAGCAGCAACAGGGAGCCAGTGCTGCTTCTAACGCTAGCGCAGGCCCGAATGGGAAGGCAGCCGATGAAGCTGAGGTGTCCTCAGCTTCTACAGAGCCAATGGAGACCGAAAAACCAGATTCTACAAGTGCTGCTTAATCTGGAGAGTGCCTACTTTATAAATTTATAACGAACTGTTATTCGAGCTTAAAACGAAATCTCGACGAGGTGATGAACAACAATGGAAGGCTGGCCTTGTATTTGACTTGTGAAATCACTTGTGAAGCATTTTGTATTTGGTGTTTTTGCTAGGGTTTTCTTTTATTGTTGGAGCTAGTCTTCACCAATCCGTTTTTCAAAAGGAATTTTTTCATAGAACATGTTTATGCTTATCAATGGCCTTCCGGTGTGGAAGCTCATACTCTCATCTCATCTTTTCTGCGCTACGTTCTCTACACTATTTTGAACTCCAGAAGATTATTAAATTGATAATTTTTGTTCATTTTCTTTGATCTGAAATTGAATCTAGTATCTTCTTGAAATCACCATTGTAATTTGCACAACCTTCAAAATTCAAATAGGGCAGCATATAGAGCGGCCATTTTGTCATTTAAAAATCTCAGTAATCTCGCTGGTCTTGATGATTATTCGGCCATGAAGAAGATAATTCTTCAAGTCTCCAACAATCTGCATGAATTACAAAAATTGTATCTAATATAATAGCATGCACGAAAAATCAAGGGTCACAACAATCTTGCCTTGAATCTGAACAAAAAATTCTGCCCCAAAAGGTAGGGTTTAGGTGAATTATAATCCTGTAATTCTGTTATTACTGTTGTCAAAATTAAGAACGCCTCCATCTATACTGCACTGATTAGAAATCAATAGGGGAAGGGCCTCCCAAATATTATACAGACAGTGAGTGATCAACAACATACTAATAAATAGTAGAGACCGCTGCACGATTGCTGATTAAGATACATCATCCACTGGCACTCTTGGCGGAGGCGCCGTACTCCTCATCGTCGCCCTGCCTAAGTTTCGCAATCTCGGCCTGAGCTCTCTCCATGATCTGCCTTTTCTGCAACTCTAAATCTCTCAAGAAATCCATCCTCATCTTTTCTAACTCCATCATTTGCTGTCTTTTGCTGCTCTCTATTTTCTCATAAATTTCGCTGAACTTGTGAATTGAGTCAGCCAGCAACCTGAATGAAGAGCCGTCGTCCTCACTGTTCCTCCCACACATTCTTTTCTTGGGTGGAAGCCCATCCAGTTCATCCTCTTCACCATCATCAGATTCTGAATTTTCAGGACTATCTCTCATCTCGTCGAACCCATTTGCACGGTTTAGATAAGCTCTAGGGTTCATGAACACATACTCTCCCGAGTCTAAACCACATGATAGGCCACCTTGGTGTGGGGGCGAAGCCATTAACATGTCCATCTTCTTAAAGTAAACCCATTTGCTGGAAGAACCACCCATTTCGGTTGACTTTGATTTTTCTTTCTTATACTTCTTTTTCAATGTATCAAGGCGGTTTCGGCACTGTGTGTCAGTCCTATCGATCTTAGAAACCTCCGACACCTTCTCAGCAACCTCTTGCCATTCCTCAGATCGGAGACTTTTCCTCCCACGTTGTAGAAACCGTTCACCCCAAGCATCTAGAAGCACAACTGTTTCATGTTCATTCCAATCTGTCAGTGAATTTCTGCCCCCAACATATGATTTTTGTCCTGAAGGTGTAGCAGATGATGGTGCGGGCATTCTAGGAGCAAGTTCATAACCAGATACCAAATTCTTCAGTCGGCGCTTTTTGGGGTGTCTTTCCAATTCAGGATCATCTAATTTTACAGTATTGTTCTGCTTGTTGTCTTCATCCATATCAAATTCATCTTCATCGTCACCATCATCTACTTCTTCACTTGTGTGAGTGAAACCATTGTTCTGATCGTTTTCATCCTCTTCCTCCCCTAGTGCTTCATCCTCTTCATCGTCGTCTTCAACATCATCATCTACATATTGATTGCTGACTGGCCTTGAATAAGATGCATCCTGGCGAGGAATCTTTGGACGAGGTAGAGAACCATAACTTTCCCGATGATTTCCACTGTAACGTTTCGATACAGGATACCTTTCTTCTCCGTTGTCGTCCATTTCAGATCAAACAACAACAGAAAATCTCAAAGCTTGTTTCTCAAAAATCTAATCACTTTGTCCAATTACAACAAAATCCACATTTCCACACAACCAAACTGCGATTCAAGGACAAAAAAGAAATACTAGCTCAAGTCAATCTCCATTTCTCACACGAAAACAATCTACCCCTTACCAACGACCAAGAACAAGAAATCTTACTTCCTAACTCTTCATAAATCCGTCATGGATCCAGACCCTTCAGCAAAAACCTCGAACTTCTACCTTCACAGAGGCGGGATAGCTTCCTTCAGATCCCCTATATCTCGTCCAAGATCCGGAAATAATTTAAGATACTAGAAGCCGCAATTCATCGACAAGAAGAGAGGGGAAAAAACAAAAACTAAGTCCTCCGTCTTCTCGACTCCAGAACAACATCAAATCAACATACCTACGTAACACCAATTCCAACGGAAGATTGAAACAACATACAACAGGAAAATTGTGGCGCTCTAAAAGCCCTAATTTCAAAGATGGAACCAAAATTTCAAGAACAACAGCGTCCACAGGTCTTACCTCGAGCAAACGTGTGAAAAGCGAAGACTTCCGCAGCTGCGCGATTCAGCTGAAGCTTCTTCTTGTTCTCATAACTGGAGCTCGAAAGGATTCAGAGAAAGATGAAGAGAATAAACCTTTGGAGCAAACAAGGGGACAGACGAGAGAGCAAGACACGGGGATATCATAAGGTTGCTGCTAACGTACGCAGAGCAATTCATTTCTTTCTTTTGGGCCAATCCATTAGGCCGTAAGCCCAGCGTAATGGGCCCAATCTTTTGGTTTGGGCTCTATGCAATTGCAAGCCTTGTTTATTGGAGCACCAGCTAGGGTCGTGTTGGTTAGGTTTGAACTTAATTTCAATTTAATTCTTTTTATTTTAAAAGCTTCCACTTGTTCTTATTATATAATAAGTGGTTATCTTATTGAATATTTTTTTTTTAAACAAATGATTATTATTAGAAATAAAAATCCACTAAAATTACATATAGCGACGGTAAATCAGTTGAAGTTTTAATAAACTACACAGAGAAATTATTATCTCATGGACAGACATTTGAGAAAGTAAAACATTATTTGCAAGGAAAATCAACGGTTGGTTTAATTGTTTTACATGGATAAATTTCATCTCTCATCAGCTTTAAAATCTCTAACACCCATGAAGACTCTCCACCTCTACGACTGACTTATCTACCATTTCAGAAGTTTAATTACTTAAGGACAATAGGACGACACATTAATATAGAAAAATTCCAATCTTGCCACTAGATGAACACCTTCTCCTAATTGTCAAAAGCTCTACATTAATCTATATGTTAGATTAATCGAACCTAGGATAATGAGTTTGTATTTTCGCATTAATTAATTACATATGTGAGGTTTTAGACTAAGGAAGGAATGGGAGGAAATTAGTAGACTTTTTAGGAGAGCAAAATAATAAGATTAAATCGAAACCAAACTTATACCCTATGAGCCAAATTAAAAATTTTACAGTCTTAGGCGCTTTTGCTTCAAAATTTATTTTCCCCTTAAACGAGACAGATAGGAAGTGACATGGCAACACAACATAAGCTGGTTGTAGATAAGCTCCATATTTGCTTACGTGGCTTATTTTAACTGGTTAAAGTGCACGCCAGATGTTCAAGCTGGTATTATCCACGTGGAAAAACTTACAGAAGGAGCCACAGATCAGTGCGATATTACGTAAGTCACACTGGAGTCCAGCAACCGCAACCTATGGGTCACTGTAAATTCGAAAATCTAGAAAGGGCATTAAAGTCAATTCGCGCTCGGCTGCACCAGCGAGAAGCCGTAGCCCGGAGATGGATAGAAAAAAGACGAAGAGAAAGGCTTCTGGTTCGCCCTCAATTATCTTGAAAGAGAAAGGAATTGGAAAAGAGAGCTTCGAAATCGATGATGGGCTTTGCAATGGGAAGCACTTGCTTCTCTCAGGCTCCGCTTCATTTCTCTCGCTTCCCGTTTTCTTCAGTTTCTTCTTGCTCGTGTTCTTCACAATCTGCTTCACTCCACACAAGAAACGCAGACGCGAAGGAGAGGAGCGGAGCACCGGCGGCTTTAAAGAGCGAAAATTACTTGAATGATGATGGTTTCTGCAAGAGGAGGGCGATTCTGTTTCTGGGTATTTCAGTTTTTCCGCTTCTGCAATTGAAGGCCCAAGCGATTGATAGTTCGCCTCCAGGTTAATTAGTACTGTTGATTTTTTTCTTTTTTCTTCTTGTAATGTGGTTGTTTGGGAAATTCCACGAGATGAGTTGCAATTTGGTTGGGGTTAATTTCCAACGATATGTAAAAATGATAGTCCAATTATTGAAGTGAATGTAGTTAGTTAATAATATTGTGAAGGCAGTTTCCATATCAACCAAAGCAGCTTTGATGTTTGTTCTGTATGTTACAATAGATAAGAGTTCTTGATAGATAACTGTGTCAATGGAGATTCTGATTAATTCACACAAACTTTCTCAGTTTATACTAGGAGTTTCATGATATCTGAAGCTGTAGGGCACTGGCTCAGTTTAGATTGATTAATGCATAAGCATGTTTTTATTATCGTGTATATTACTTACTTTATTTGGTGTTACGGTTTGCAGTATGGTTTCTTATAATTAACCATTCCTTCTGCAAAATGGTTGTATATTCTCAATCTCTTAGGCTTAGCTATCAAAATATAGGTCTCTAGTTTGTTCTAGTTCAAACTCAGTCAATAAATATGAACTTAACTTTCCATATATGGTTAAGCTATACCGATCGGTTGTAGTTTACAGACAATGATTTATTCTGGAAGAGGGCTGAGAGTTTATTTGGAATGTTAATTCCTTATTTTTCCATTAAACACATCGATAGCTGGCCTTTATAGCAAAGCTGTCTCCTGATGCAAAGTTGCAGATGAAAGGAATATCCTTGTGGTTGTGGGTTGAATTATTTATTAGTAAATTTGATACCCTTCCTTTGCAAAAAAAAAAAATTTGATACCCTTTTCTAGATTAAATATCTGTTGTTAAGAAGTCAAATATTGTCTAAAAGCTCGTAGATCATGACTCATAGCTGTGATGGGGTTTGTGATGATTTTTAGTTTCAGGTTCATTGGCTTTCAAAGATGAATGTCAATTGATATTTAAATCTTCAATTTTATAATCCTCACAAAATCTACTTGATATGTTCAGAGAAAACTGAGGTGAAGGCTCAAGAAGGGAATCAAAATATGGAGGTCTGAATCTCTGCTTAATTTACAAAAGTAGGGATTATTTTGATTTATCTGGACTGTGTTATAGTTTCTATCATTCCTGAAACTTTCCAAATTATGTTCATTTTTGGACAGCTAGCGGCTCAAATAGAAAAAGCACCAAATCCTTCTGTATCTGTCCTCAATGGACTTGGAGTTTTCAGTTCGGGGGTGCTCGGATCACTCTATGCATTAGCTCAAAAAGAGAAGACGGCTGCTAACGCGACGATAGAATCTGTAAGCCCATTCTTGATCGAGCAAATATTTGCAACACCCAACTTAAAATTCTACAAAATTCACTTTGCATTTGTATTATTCTCCTTATTCTGTTAAATTATGTCCTTGAGCTATGATCTTTAACCAACAATTCTCTCTTCTCCCATCTTGATTACTTGAGGAATTTGTGTGTGTGCGTGTGTGGGATAAGGGACTTTGTATTGTTTATTCTGAATTACTAAATGGTATTGATATTTAAATTGGCAGATAAATACTGAACTGAAAGAGAAGGAATCTTCCATTGTTTCAATGAAGAGAAGCTTTGAATCAAAGTTACTGAAGGAACAGGAAGAACGAACCGAGCAATTAAGGAAAGCAAAGGAAGAACAAATTTCTTTGGTTAACCAACTAAATTCAGTCAATATTACAATTGGACGCTTGGGACAAGAGCTAAGAAATGAGAAAGGAAGAATGGAAGAGCTTAATGGTTTCATTGGTAGCCTGCAAAAAGACCTCTCAAAGGCCGAGGAAGATAAGCATATACTCAACGCAAAATTGCAAGAAAGTCTCAAGTCTATTGAACTTCTGCAAGAAAGGGCTAACTTGCTTGGTTTGGAGCTCAAGGATAAGGAGAATGATATTCAGAAGATCAGTTCTTCCGTTGCAGAAAAGGAAGTTGAATTGAAGAACTTGTTGGCCTCGCACAAGCAAGTAAAGGATGAACTTGTTGCTGCCCATTTGGAGATTCAAGGTTTAAAAGATGAGCTTCTCAACAGTAAAAAGGAACTTGAGCTGAAGGTTTCTTTGGTGGATGAATTAAATGAAAATGTAGCTTCTTTGGTCCTCGAGAGAGATGATTACAAGAGAAAATTGGAGGATGCGGACGAAGTATATGATCGTCTGAAATTATCTGCTGAAAAGAAGGCATCATTAGATGCTGAACTTTTAGGAGAAAGAGAACTGAAAATTCAGGAACTGCAGGAAAAACTTAGCGTTGCTGTTGAAGAAGTAAATGGAAACCAAACAAGAATTGATCATCTTACACAAGAAATAGATGTTTTGAAAAAGAAGCTGGAACTAGAATCAAGTGATGCACAAATACTGAAGGATGAACTAAAAGTTGCTCGCGGAAATCTTAACGAGTCAAGAAACGAAGCTTCCATTCTTACGAATCAGTTAGAAGAGTCGAGAAACAAGTGCACAGAACTTCAGTCTGAGGTTTCTAGACTACAGGCTGAATATGACGAAGTTAGAAATTCATTACAAAGCAAGTTTGAAGAGGCAGAACAAAATGTTGAAATCTTAGCCAGCGAGCTTTCAAAAACCAAGGAACTTCTCATGACAAAGAATGAAGAGCTACAAGCTGTGTCACATGAGCTGGCAGCAGTCGTTGAAAGTCGTAATGGTTTACAGAAGGAATTGGATGATGCCTATCAAAAGGCAGAAACAGTAAGGAGCGATTTAGATGAAGAGAGAAAAGTAGTTGCTTCTCTTAACAAAGAAGTTCAAACATTGGAGAAGCAAAACCTGAAGGACAAGGAAGCACGAAAATCTCTCGAAACGGACTTGGAAGAAGCTATTAAGTCGCTGGACGAGATGAACCGCAATGCATTGTTACTTTCTAAAGAATTAGAGAAGTCAAATTCCCATGTGGCCAATCTCGAAGACGAGAAAGAAGTTCTTCGTAAGAGTGTCACAGATCAAAAGAATGCCGCTATGGAGGCACAGGAGAACTTGGAAGATGCCCATAACCTTGTCATGAAACTTGGAAAAGAAAGGGACAGTTTTGAGAAGAGGGCAAAGAAACTGGAAGCAGACTTGGCATCTGCAAAGGGCGAAATATTGCGGCTGAGGAGCGAAATGAAGTCATCAAATGCCATTGTGAACAACCAGCAACAACAAAATGCTGAAGGTGAAGGCAAGGTCAAAGTCACTGTCACTGCCAAGAAAACTGTTAGGAGGAGAAAGTCGGGTTCGAGTTCCCAGTCGGATAAAGAACTACCCTGAGTGTCGTTTACTCTAACTCACCTCCACCCTCACTCCGCCAACATCTGGTTATCCTGTTAATGTCTTGCCTAGCCAGGTGCTATTGGCCTTTTTCTTGCCATAGCCCTTTGTATTCTACAAATAAACAGCAAAGTAACAAGATGTTGTCTGTTGTCCATGCTGCGAGGACTCGTGTCGTCGATATCGAACGCATGAGCATTTCGCTCCCAGCATTTTCAAGTGGCAAAGTAACCTACTGAAAATACTCTCCCATTTCTCTGTTAGTTGCTGGAAGAAGAGGGAATGTATGATTGAGTCAAGCTTGTCATGTATGTATTATTTGACAAGTCTGGATATTGGATATAGACTGTTGTGGATCCATTTATTACTTTGTATTGCCCAAAGTGAATATTCCATCAAAATTGTGGACGAAAATGCAATTTCCGCCCCCCAATTACTGGACTTTCTATTAATTTCCATCAAATAAATATTCAAAATTATAAATGTAACAGTAAGTGTTAAATAAAAAATAAGAAGTAAATAAATGCGAGATTGTTAACCTTGTCATTAGCTTCAGTAGTTCGCTGTTTGTCCTCTTTTTTTTTTTAAATATTTTTTTCCCTGAAAATAGATTTACTCATTATATCATATATAAGAGATTCATACAAAAACTTGTTATCTAAGCTTTTGATTAAAAAACATATGGGTGAGAATCTTGAATTTTCGACATTTTGATTGATGATGTATGTCTTTAACTAGTTAGAATATAACTTGATAATATATGCATTAATTAGTTGAGTTATACTTATACGTCTTGTTGAAATTTAAACCCACGATCGAATTCACAACCTTTTGATTGAAGACATATTACCAATTACTTCTGAGCTAGACTCGTTTTGGCACTGATTAGCAATATATTACATTACAAAGCTTATGAAAGTAATGAAATGAAAGCTTCATTTTACAATAAAGAAAATATACAATAAATAGTCTCTTCCAATTCATAAAAAAAAATTAATTGGAATAATACAAAAAGAATTAATAAAAAAATAAAAAGTAATATTTACGATAAATAGTCTCTTCCAATTAAAAAAAAAGATAAACCTCTAATTAGCCACAACCTGTTTTTTTAATAAAAAAACAATTAATGAAAAGTAATATTTTTCCCAATTTGTGATTAAAATTGACATAATAATACTGAATCAGTTACCTAACTAAAAATGTGGGGACCAGAGTTGTAATTTAAACTAATTATCAATATACATTACAATAATGAAAGCTTCGATTTTACAACTGTAGCGCATATCCGCGAAAGAAATTTCCGCACCAGAGGCACCAACGCGACCTAAAATATCAGACGGAAACCTGAATTTCGCTGCCGAGTTCTTCATTTTGTCTCATCTCGATCTCAAGATTGACGCTTTTATTTGTGTCAGATTTGATCTAATTCTTATTCGCTGGTTGGTTGGAAGGCATTGCGATTCGTTCGTTGTATTAGCGACTCGGGATTTGTTTGATTTCTGGGGTTAGATTCTTTCGGGATTTGTTTCTCTCTTCAATTCTGAATGTTTCTGTAGTTGTATATCATATGGATTTAGTATGGGTAGATTAGATTTAGGATTTATTTGATCCAGATCGAACGAAACAAGTTTGTCAAATTCTCGCACCAGGGCCAGCGAGAGGATTCTTGATTTTGGGAGTTCTTTTTCGAAGGGATGTACAACTTCGCGAAGAAAAATTGGCTTCTCTTGGATTTCGTTGTTAATTTGAGAGCCGATAGCTAAGAGAAGTCTTTTACTGTTGGGAAATTTATTTGCTTCCTCATCACGAGTTGATTGTTCGATTGCACTGTAAGAAGTTGGGTTCTGTTCACTTGAGGTTGAGAAGCTTGAATCGGGTGGTGGAGTCATGTTCTATGGTACAGTGGTATGGGACCCTTGGCTCATTGTTGCCCAAATTGTTTGCATTCAATGCTTGTACTACATTACTCTTGGCATATTGCTGGCGACTCTAGTTGGGACTCGCGTTTCTCGGATCAGCCTTGTCTACTTCTTTGATTATGCTACAATAACCGTTTCTACAGCCACTGGTTGGTGTGTTATTGCTTCATTCCTGCTAAGTGCGCTTGCTGGGTAAGAATTATGTTATGGATTTTCTCCCCGCCATATCTGGTATTATGTATATTTGCAATGCATGGTTTGAAATAATTGACAAATCTCAAGCAAAGTTGGTTGTCTTCCCTGTTTCTATATATCAAAACTACTTTGGAGTTTGGACGCATATTAATACTGCATTACACTTGATTTATAGAAGTTGCAGTTTATTAGATTATTTGGAATTTAATAGATAAACCCTTCTTGCTGATATTGTTATGATTGTTAACCATAACAATATTAATGTTATTGTTTAACGAGGCCATTTTTTTTGTTGTAATCTATAATGCACTTGACTGGTTGATGCCCGAAATTATTTTCTTCAATGGTTTGCAGTATGCTAGTATCATATTTGTTGTTCCTTCAGTAATTGATTTGAGAATTTCAATTAAGGTCCATATGTACTAGTTGGCTACTTGTTTTGAGAACTCACCTTTTTAATTTCCCATCATCCTAAATCCATTTTGGCCTGTTTGCAGAAATATGTGGATGTTGTTGCCCTTTTAAGTGTTCTCTGTTACTATTCACAGATATTAACTTGGTATATTTTCGGGTTACTGGGTCTGCTTGTCATAAATTCTATTTCAAATTGCGTATGAAATAACTTAAATTTGGAAACCCTATGGAATGGAAAAGTGAGTTGGTTAGAATGTGTGGGTGATGTATGATTGTTCATGCTTTTTATGTCAGAGAAGATGGCGCAGCCATTTTGCTCCCTTGAACTTTTTCCTAAATGGTGTTTTCAGCTGGGTTGGGGATCAGGGCGGTTGGAGAACAGCAACATCGTTTTGGAACAATACCCAATAATAGATGTTGATTATGTTGAATGTTGCCCTGAGCAGAACCGTAGAATATTGTTTCTTTTTCCATATGTTTGATACAATTGATAGTGTTGGTTTCAAAGCAACCAGTTCGATCCCTCATCCTCACATGTTGTACTAAAAAATGCAACCAGTTTGAATCTTAAACTTTGTTTCTTTGATCATATTCTTTACTTCATCCACAACTTATATCAGCTTCTCTCACCATTACATTTTTTTGTTTTGTTCATTCAGAGCAGGATATTTGGTTTACTTGATCGAAAGGGCAAAGAAGTGTTTAGATTTTTCAGCCACACTCTATATAATCCACCTTTTCATCTGTATCATATATGGAGGGTGGCCTTCCTCAATGACGTGGTGGGTTGTGAATGGTACTGGGCTTGTAGTGATGTCTTTGCTGGGTGAATATCTATGTATCAAACGGGAACTGCGAGAAATTCCCATAACACGATTGCGTTCAAGTAAGGCTTCTTTCCTCAGGGAAATTAACAAAAGAATCTTCTTTGCCATTCACAGCGATGAAAATTCACAACTCACAATACTAACTAACTTGACTGTCAAAATTCTTGCTAGTAGCATAGTACACAATATTTATTTCATGTTAGCTTTATATGTGACTCCATTCTATGTTTGGGATTTGCAGTTAGAGTTGATACTATTCTGATATGTACGTTTGTGGATTAATTTCATGTTTCAATCAGAATTATTAGGCTTCCTATTTATTTGTCGAAAAAAAGGTCTTCCTGTTTAAGATTATAGCAAAAAGGTCTTCCTATTCTAGTTCTCTCGCCTCAACTGAGGAGCGGTTTCAATTGTACTATAATGCAAGCATATTTTGGTGCAGATGTTTGAGCGAGAGAAGTTCAAATTTCAAGAACACCACCTCTTGATGTGTGTGATTTTTGGTGGCCTGTCTTATTAAATCTGCCTAGCTAGTGGATAAAGCTGATGAAGAGCCAAATCAATTTAGTATTCAGGAGAAGAACTACTTTGAGATACGATTATCGACCGCAAATACTGGAAAATAACAGAGATTGGTACACAGAATTATGAACCAGTGTTTCAAATGATTGGAAGTTTTGCATGAAAATTTGATTCCAGGAAATTCTTGTAAGCTGGGGAAAGAGGGAGGAGGGGAGGGTGTCACTTCCAATGGAGAAAAAATGCGATGACTAATGGCTGTATGAGCTTTGTTCCTATTTTATTTTTGGGTTAAAGGATATATTATTAGTTGCTTTTATTCTTTTAATTGTTAACACAGATGAGTTTTCCAGCTTAGTTTGAAATGAGACTTCTTTTTTCTCCTTCTCGTCATTTCTCTCTCCATGTGAAGTTTCAATGACAGTGAAAAAACCATGATTATAAAGAAAATTTAATATGTAAACTAAAGGAGAATTCAGTTGATTTATCTCGTCTTTATGGGACTTGGGTTTGCTACTTTGCTGTACCATAAAACGTCTTTTCTTTTATTGCTACGACACTGCTTGCTTTCCTCTTCTTGATAAAGGCTTTCACTGTCGCTAGGCGTGTGACTGAGTTGGGTCGGGTCAGTTCTCGGACAAGAGGAATAACCGAGTCGGTTGATAAGGTAAAGGAAAACAAAATCCTTAATTTTGGTGGGTTAAAATCGACTCGGCCTGAACCGATCCGGGTTGGATTCGTTTTTTAAGTTGTGTTGGTTCGTTACATCCTTGTATGGTTTCTTTCGTATCAGTTTAAGCGTTTTTCTTACGCTTCAAGGCATCTTATAAAGATCTGTAGCAAATAATTTTAAAGTGTCCACTTCTTCCAATCGGATTTGCATTATAAAAAAAAGAAAAAAAGAAAAAAGAACGGTGCAAATCTTGACGAAGTTAAATTTTTATTTGATTCTGCTAAATGTTGTACAAAATGTTATAAAAATCTCAATGTTTATAAGCGTATTGAACCACAATCTTTTAAAATTGTCCAGCCGAACAAGCTGTTAAATAGTCAATATTCGATTAAGATTTGATTGGATGAAGAAAAAGGTCATTCACTTTGACTTTATTTGATCATTAAATTATTTAGTCTTTCACGATGCCTTTTGCTGATCTAGCTTTTGAATATGGAATCAGCATAAACAGAAATTTGTTTTGTTTTTTGAACAAGGCTAGTGTTTCAAGCTTTGTATAAGATGCCAATATGAACTAAATATCTTGCACAAATGTCCATAGAATACAAAGGATGCTCTTTTCCTAACAGCTGGAGTTGCAAATAAAGTCTAAAGCCCCAATGAAACTTGTTCAATTATTAATGGAGAGTGATTAAAACTTGCACTAAACAATGCAATAATGGAAGTAACATCTCTCAACTTTATTGTCAAAATATTTGAGATATCAAACACTGAGATAGCTTGTGTAGTGTATTGGAGAATGCAAAGTAAAGAACTTGGGAGCAAGAAAGAAACACAAAGATTGAAACATTTCGTTGCCTCTAAATTGCTTGAACAAGGGTGGGAATCTGTTCTCCTAACCCTGGGAGGAAAAGAAAAAACTCTCCTCGACGGCCGATTTTTCGTCGTCACTAGTAATCTATATCTATTTTCTGTCTCTCTTCTCTAAGATAGGTTGAAGATGTAAGTTATGGCCGCCTCTTCCATAAAGAAGAAATGTCCTTTACAGCTTCTCCAACTGAGAGGTACAGGCCATTGAACTCGAACGGCTCCAAGACATTTGATTTGTACAGTTTTTCCATCACGTTTCCAGTAGGATTTGCAAGAACAAACTAAATGAAACAAATGCAGAAAATTTGATTAGCTAACAGTTTCCAGGAGAATATTTTGCTATACAAGCAGTTCTAGCCACATGGTTCGTACCTGCAGTGATTTTTGCGTCAACAGCTTTCTAAGTTCACATATTGTTTCTATACCGCTTGTGTCTATGGATGCCACAGCTGAGAAAAACATTTGACAAGTGTGAGCCAACTATACGGGCGGGATAATATCGAAAAAAGGAACTTTTCTACCAGTTTAGGAGTAAATTGTTTACTCTTAACATACCTGTCATGTCTAGGACTACACATTTCAGCGGAGGGCTGCCCTCATTAGCTTTTATCCGATCTTCTTCTTCCCTAACCCATCTTAGCATCCTGCTCGAGACAGATAGTTGTGTTAATGGTAAAATGATTTATTTTTTCAGAAGATTATTGCCCCAAGAAACTCATCCACTAGATATTCAGAACTAATTTCTTTATATTACATCAAGCTCACCTTTCTTGAAGATAGGTTGAATTTGCAAAGTAGATGGGAGATTCAATGGCAAGAATGAGAAATGAAGGCACTCTTGAGGCTTCTTGGTATCGGTCGAGGTTTTGGAATATTTCAGACCCAGAAATATTGCCCAAAACCATGGTGTTTGGCCTGGTGACATGCAGAAGAATCTTGAAAACAGAAACTCCAACCTGAAATTTCCGATGAGCCAGTCAGTGACACGAACTTGCAACGCAATAAACTAATGTTATAGCAATGAAGAAACTTACCGCGATGGCAAGACCCAGTGGAACCGAGATGAAAAGAACGCCAAAGAAAGAACAAAGACAAGTTATGAAGTCGAGTTTGTCAACTTTCCACAACCTGAGTGCCGCTTGGTAATCAATTAGCCCAACCACTGCTGTTATAATGATGGCTGCTAGGATGAAATTTGGAGTGTAATGGAACAGTGGCATTAGAAACAACAACGTTATGAGCACTGTTGCAGACATCACTACATTGGAGACAGTTGTTTCCGCCCCGGCATTATAATTCACAGCAGACCGGGAAAACGATCCTGAAACATCAATCCAAAGAGTTTTAATTTTCTAAATTTAAAACATCAAATAACGTCACAGGGAAAGTTAGGTAGGAAGGTAACAAACACCTGTAGTAACATAACATGAAGAACAAGATCCAGCAATGTTCATAAAACCAATAGCCATCATTTCTTTATTCCCATCCACTTGGTAGTTTTTCAAACCAGCAAACGTCCTTCCCACGGCAATTCCTTCCTAAACGTCATAAGAACAAAAATGAAAAGGATCGTTCAGCCACACAGATTTGGAAAAGTAACCAAAGTCAGGATATAAGCTTATCAAAGAAAAGTCTAAATCTTTTCTTAATAGCTTTCTGAAACAATACTTACAGTCAGGGAAAGAATTCCAGTTATAATGCCAGTTTTAATGGCAAGTCCCAATTCAGAACCAGAAAAGTACAGCATGTTCAGAGATAGAGGATTCAAGCCCTCTGGCAAATGACCAATCTATATAAAGAACACCGAAGGAGGAAATCAGTAACTGGTTATAAATAACTATTCTCGTCGGTATCAGTTTCGGGGTACCAATTTGTAGTTTAAGAATATCAGTTCGTACCACTGCGATTCTTGGAACCTTTGTTCTGAGAAGGAAGACTAAAAGAGTGGACAAAATAACTGATGTCAGTGGCGCAGCTGCTGAAATCCAGAAAAGCTTCGGTTTCTTGATGCTCTGTTTCAATTCATGTATGATTGAACAAATTAGAACCAGACTATTATTATTGTTTTCTTTTTTTAAAAACATTGAGGCCCAACTCCTTGATGCTCATGACTCACCATACTAATCACACCTTAAAAGGCCAGAAAGAGCCATTATGAAAACATAAATCACAGCAATAATATCAATTTGTGCAAAACATAAAGCCACTTACTATATGCCTTGTTCCCAGAAGAAAGAGAAGGAAACTGAAGCCCAAAACAATAGTTTGCCAGGACCACTGCACATTAATTGCACCAAGTTAGAAAAGTAAATTAATAAAAGACAAAAAGGGCCCCATCAGTTATAACACCTCAGAGCATCTAGAATTAAAAGAAATTTTTTTTTGAACCCCTTGAAAAATATCTTCAATTAAGCTAATAAAATAAAAACCAAGATTCTTACTACATTAACAAGATGAACCAGCTTTGGTTTATATAAAAGCCATCTTTAATAAAAAAAAAAAAATCCCCAATATTCTTAAATAGGATATTTGAAATAGTGAAGAGAATTTTATTGTGAACTGCTACATCGGATTGCTTGTTCTTTTCCTTCCCTTTTATTTTTCCCACCCTATAATGCTGCAAGCACTTACCTCATCTTTGCGTTGAAAAACAGAAGACATGACAGAAACAAATTGCATTTTGGTGGTGAAATGGGTAATTCCAAGCAACCCTTTGAGTTGTTGCAATGACACAATGACTGCTGCACCAGCCATAAAGCCAACTAAGGTAGCCTTTGACAGAAAATCAATCACAAAGCCTAACCTGTAAGAATAAATTAGAACCAAGCTGTTAAACTACAAGATTAAATTTAATCTCTTATACATATTCTCAACACACCCGCCCATCAAGCGATTCTCATTAGTTGTGAAGGAAAATGACAATATAGGGAACCCAAAAGTTGACTGTGCTTGGTTTTATACCTTAACAAACCCAAAGATGCCTGGAAAACGCCAGCAAAGAAGGTGGCAGTAAAAGCCAACTTAAGGTACAGGGTTGGCTCTTTGGTGAAGGAGACTTCTTCACTCAGCATCGATCCCATGACCAAGGAGGCAATTGAAACTGGGCCAACGGCGAGATGTCTGGAGCTTCCAAGGATAGAATATATCAGCGGAGGCACAAAACTTGAATCTGCAACAAAAAGTTCACAAATCAAACTTAACTTCTGGTGGTTTAATTTCCTTTAATTAAGACGAAAATGGAAGAAAATATACTTACATAATCCGATGATTGGAGGCAAATTAGCAAGCTTCGCATAACTTATCCCCTGAATTCGAAAAGAAAAAAAATGATTAAGACAAAAAGACAAAGAAAATGCGAGGTCTCGAGAAAGCACTTTTTTCTGAGGGCTAAAAAACAAAAAAAAAAAACAACTGTATTAAATTAAGCCAGAATGAAGATTGACGAACTTGACCAGTTTTTGAAAAAACAAAAACGAGTGGAGTGGAATCCACATTCCATAAATAAGAACCAGTTGAATCATCCCAGCCCCAGCCTAATCAGAACATGATGACAATAAACGGGGGAATTCAAAAGAGCGATTGCATGGCGCGGTTTGTTCATACCTGGGGAATAGCCAGGCTTGCAATTGTGAGACCAGAGACGACGTCAGCCTTGAGAAGAGCAAGAGTATACTCCGGTCCCCATTGGAAAATCGGGAACAGAAATTGAAGACCTAAAAGGAATTTTCGGAACGACGATTGGTCCTTGAATTTGTGGAACGGGTCATCGGGGAAGAACACCTCCGACAACTTGTGCTTGAGTTTCTGCAGAGTAGTCCGCTTCGGCGGCATACAGACCTTATGAATCTCGTCCGCCGCCTGCGGTGACGCCGGCATTACCTCCGGCGGAATTCTCACCACCGTTTCATGACTTTCCAAGTTCTCCACTCGATTGGAATTGATTCCCATGCCGGTTTCAACGTTTTCCCTCTCCTCTCTCTTCGCCAGAACCAGTGATAGATATGGAAAAACAAGAGGGAAACTGTGAGAGTATTTTTGAACGCTTTGGGAAATGAAATCGAGAGGATCGCAATTTATAGAGCTGGAAAAAAAAGCAATAAAATAAAATAAAATAAAAAAGAAAAAAGAAAAGAAAATTGGGGTGGTTATGCACTACCAGGGAGCACAAAATGGTAGTTACTCGGTGGTCGCTTTTTCTGCATGTACAAGGGCATTTTTCGTCATTTTACATCGAATTAATTTTCAATTTTAATCACACAAAACAAAACAAGAAGAATCTAAATATTTAATCTACCACCTCCATTCATTTTTTTTTAATTTCGTGTAAATAAAATACTCGGCTAATAATAGCTTCTTTATTATTATTATTTTTTTGAATCACAATTTTCGTCCCCTAAAATTTTCAATTTAATTTTAATTGATCGGTTAATAACCTCACAAATTGTTCTTCTATTTGGCTAGTTGTGTCGTGGATTTTCAAATGGATAAGGTGAGTTTATAGACATTTTGTGAGATTCAACAAAATCGTAACTACTAAATAAAAAATTTATGGGACTGGATTTGTAAATTAACCATTTTTTTCCCTTTATCGTTACTGTTTTCCAGGTATTATCAAAATCTTGTTTGTTAAAAACTTGATCTTCTTTTGGATAATGTTTGATTATTATTTAAGATTGGATATTGTTCCAAATATAATAGGAAACAAATCGAGATTAATGGTTTTTCATTTTCTGGAAGGGAGATAGCCTCTGCATTTGGAATGGGGCTTGTTTGTCAAAATTTTCCTAATTAATGAATATATATTTTAATTTAAAAAATAATTGGATTAATGAGTTTGGAATTGGATTGTATTTTAAGAGTGATTTTGAGAAATTTTAAAAAACTTGAAAGATTTTATATATATATATATATATATTGAGAAACACTTAATTAGTATTTTTTTTTTCAAATGTTTAGGTAAAAAATCATCGCAAATTCGCTATTAATTATGAATTTTTATATTATGGAAATATGGTTTGTTTACTGTATTAAAAAAAAAAAAGGATGGTCAGAGATGTAACTGATTATCCAAACTTGTTTCATCACGATTTTGTTTATAAAAATTTTGTTTACTCACAATATCTTTGTTAAATTATTTTATTCTCTAAAAACATTTATGAAATCCTAACCCAATTAAAAAAAAAAAATTCGAAAGTTACTTCCATTAACTTTAAAAAATGGTTAAGATCCTTGAAGGTGAGAAATTTGTTCGATCGATTAACAAATATGAAAATATATGCAGCTAAATGGTAAATTGTATAGGTCTATATTCAAATTCTCATATATTAAATTTCGTGGTACTAAGCTTTCGGAATGAATTTAAAGTACATAGTATAAAATTTCACGTCATTATATTCTATGAGTTTGTCATTGGGCGAAAAAAGGAAAGAGAGGGATGGGGTTTCTCTCGCTTTTGGCATAGCGGGCCCCCAGCGGGAGGCCCGCACGACGGGCTATTAGCTCAGTGGTAGAGCGCGCCCCTGATAATTGCGTCGTTGTGCCTGGGCTGTGAGGGCTCTCAGCCACATGGATAGTTCAATGTGCTCATCAGCGCCTGACCCTGAGATGTGGATCATCCAAGGCACATTAGCATGGCGTACTTCTCCTGTTCGAACCGGGGTTTGAAAATACAACATTCGTCCTAGTAAAATCTGTATCTTATTTCTTTATGACCCAATCCATTCTTCGGGATCGACTGCCATCAACCTTACGAGCGAGTTTGTAACTTATGTCGTCTTGTGAGGGGAGAAAGGAGTACTCTCAAGCAAGTTTTGACTGTCACAAATGTTCATCAGTCTCTTAAGTAATTATGAATCATATGTATAAATATCTTATACGGATACGAACTCACAACCTTTTAGTTGGAGGCAAACATAATTTTTTTGGTATAATAAATAGAATTGGGGAAGATTCGAACTCTCGATCTCTTGGTCAAAAACGAGTGATAATGATAATATTTTTTAAAATACTATTATATTTATATTTTAGTCCATGCTCGAATTAACCACGACCGAATATTGTTGGAGGGCTAACGAGTGAAAAGCCAAAACTTTGTTTTTCCACGCACATGCCCACACCACCACTTTTTCACTAATGGTTGGAAGTTGCCTTTTTTGTTTTTGTTTTTCTTTTTGGCCTCTTATTACTTTTTCATATTTTTTAAATAAAAAATAACAAATTTTCAACTTCCCATTACACATTAAAGTATGGAAAAAATACTCCCCATCTTTGTTTACAACTCCAGTGGGTCAGTAAGGCCACATTTGAAAGATTCAGTGAATTTAAATTTATACAAATTAGGATGCTCTAATTATTTTAGTTAAATTAAAAATCAAATTGGAATGTGAGATTATAAATTAAGCTTTGGAACAATGAGAAAGCCATAGCTTTGGAATTTGATATATAATATTTTGTTTAAATATGTTATGTGTGATAGTTTTTTACGGGTTGATTCTTGTAGATGTAGATATGGACATTTAATAATAATAATAATAATAATAAGTTGATTAAAAAAAGTCAAATTAAACTAATATTTGAAGTATAACATTATTTAGAAATATTTGTAGTTTACTATTTATATATTTTTCTAATTTATTATTTTCTTATAAAATTTTAATGCAACACTTTAAAATTTATTTTTATCTTAGGTTAAAAGTTAATTATTATGCCTAACATAACCATATCTCAATGGATTAAGGTATAATGTTGATTAAAATGTTGAAAGTTGAAATTTCTACCCACGAGTTGAACTAAAAAAATGAATCAAATAAATGTTAGAATTAATCACCATGAGCAGATGAAATAGGCAACCTAAGAGAAGAAGAGTTTTAATTTCTCATCCTAATACTTTTAGATGGTTTAATTCATCCTCTAAATGTTTGATGACTGATCATCAAGTACAAGTCTTTGGGTTAAAATATTATTTTCGTCATTTTACTCCCAGCTTTATTATTTTGGCTTAGGTACTCTAAAAATGTTCCTATTGGTTTACTTAGGTTTTGGTCTCTATATTTTTTAAAACTAACCATTTTGGTACTTTAATTTTATTTTTATTCTAATTTATTTTATCACAATTTCGACATGACACTACACTCGATATATTTATTAAAATGTAGAAATGATTTTATATTAAAGAGTTTTCGTTACGTTATGCGTATAATTTGTGTTAAAATTTTTTAAAATCAGAACGAAAATAATTATTTTTTTAGAATATAGAAACCAAAACGAACCTTTTAAAAGTAAAAAACTAAAATGAGCCAAAGTTTAAAGTAAAAGATCAAAATAATATTTTAACATAAAATGTATATATAATCAATAGTATTAAAGGTCACAATGTCGATATTTCTATGTATCTATGAGTTCGACATCTACACGAGAGGAAAATCTGGCATTTCCATAATATTACAAAAAAATCGACAAAATATGAAAAAAATTCAAAATGTCGCCCATATAGACATAATATTAATATTAATCAACTTTAATTTATCTTTGTTAATTTATATATATATATATATATATATTTTTGTCATGTTTTATAATTTTTCGTTTAAAACTTTGATATAATCTTTATTATTTTTTTTATAAGTTTAAAACTTTAAATTAAAATTTCCTCCTGTTTTTTTTTTCCTTTGAAAATCGTATGGCGTGTNGGTGAAATTTCTAAAAAAGAAAAAAGAAAAGAAAAAATCAAGACTTTGAAATTTCCTTCTATTTGAAAGGCTAGTTTTATTTTGGCCCCTCCCAACTTTAGATTATAAATTTATGTGGACATGTCGATATTTGCGTGTGTATATCCATAGAAGCAACATAAACCAAAGAATAAATCGATAAAATATAAAAAATATAAATAAAATATCATTAATATAGACATTGTTAATATTTTTAACTTATCTAGAAAATGTAAAATATTTATGTGTTAATTTAAATATTTTTACTAAATTTTTACTTTTATAACATTTTTAGACATATTAGAAATATTCATTAATATTGACAGCAACAATGATTTTTTTTAAATTGGGACATCGAAGAATTCAATGACTTCCAACGTTAAAAACTTTAAATTAAAATTTCCTCCTGTTTTTTTTTTCCTTTGAAAATCGTATGGCGTGTGACTTGAATTATTAATAAAATGCATCGGGAAAAGAGTCCATAATAAAGGCATTGCTTTGATCAGTTGGAGATTCTGCCATCTCTGAACGGCGGGACTGCCGACTAGGGAGGAGCCATGAGAGACGACACCATTATGCGTGAGACGACACTTGCACTTGCAACCCATCCTGCCCAATCAGTTTTCGTCCCCTGGTGACATGTCGTCCCATTATCATTCTCAAACAAGGCTTCACATGCATCTCTAAAACATCATATTTCCGTTTTCCAATTTTGTCTATTTCAAACCAAATTTTTAATTCTTAATTTTTTTTTTAGTTTTCAAAAACGTTTTCGAAAGTGACTACAAAACAAAGCCACATAAAAGTCTACACGTGATTTTATTTGCTTTTACTGGCTATATTCTTAAACATTCTTTTTCACCCAAATGTGGAATAGGGAGGATTACTTGAACTGTATTTATATTTCTTGTCCGATTTCGATTATTTTACATCTTGTTTGCTGTGTTCGGAAAAATAGTATTCCTTCTAGATCTCATATGAGATCATTTGAGATTTATAGGTTGTTCTATTTTTCTATTAAAAGTTCATTCTTTTGAACATTCATGCTGTATTTTTATTGTCATGTCTCTTTGATCAATTTTTTTAGTATGCATAATCCAACCATCGTAAGATTTATTGAATAAATATAGATCATAATCTATAATTTCAAATTTGTAACTTAATGGGTACCATAATATATATATATATATATATTTTATGAAATTATTGCGGCTGTGACAGACTAAAAAATATAAAATAAAGAATGCACTTTTATTTTCTTTATTTAAATTTTTTTTTTGTTGGTTTGACGTTAGCTTTAGAAGATTACATATTTATTTGTTTAAGAAAAGTAAAGTAAAATAAAAAGAATCCAAACAAACTG